TAGTGTATGTTGTAAACATGATATCAATAAAATTAAGTTCAGTCAGTTGGAGAAAATACAAATGTGGGAAGGTAACAAGTGTTTTTAGTTTTTACCAATAAAGGGACAAAACACTGTGTTGAAAAAAGAATGTTTAATGTTGGGCTGTGAAAGTGCGTGGGCCACGAATTCGAATACCGAATTTTGAGTCCATATAATGGAACCATCCAAATTCGAAGTTCAGGCTAATATTCGAACTTGTGAAAGATTCAATATTTCTATTCATTTAAAAGTTCATAATTGCAAAGTATGATTGTGAAATTAAATTTTAGTCTTGTAATCTCAAAATTAATCCTTATTATTATCACAGAATGAGTTAGCTATATTTTTATTATTTCATTCGTGCTTTCCATATTATTTGTTGTTGACATGTTGTCACCAAAATGAAAAACCACAATTGGAATATTTAGGGTGTTACAAATAAACTAAAATTTGCGATCACAAAAAAGAAGAAGCAATTTAACAAAAAAATGACCGATTGATTGTCGATTATAGTTCTAGGCATCAGTAGTGAATATGAATAAAATACATCGAGAAGACTACTAGCTTCATAGTATATATTATAAGATTTTTTTTTTTTGGTTACAAATATCATTATAAGTTTATAACGATGTCATTTTAATTTTCATTGCAATTTTTTGTTTTACTTTTCATTGTAATTCTTTCAAAATAATTGGTAAAACTGTGTTATGTAGTGCTTTTAAATCATGCGGTTGGACTACTGTCTCTTTGTGATAATGATAGGTAACACTATAACAGAGACAAATGTTTGATGGCCACGTACGTATCACTTAGTCCTTTTATTTATTTGAGATGACATGAATTGGTTGAGATGAACTGGTCCGACATTTTATTATCTCGACGTTACGTTGATTTGGGGTTCAACAATACTATTGAAATGGCACTACACGTTTATTTTTTATTCTTCAACGTAACACCGTGTCGAGACGACAAGTAAAGTCTTGATTTGGGCTGGTAACGGGCTCATTTGATTACTCAAAGAATTATGTTTTCTTATAAATAATTTTCGATTCCTCGAAAACATTTATGTGATGTTGTGTTTGCTTATCTAATTTATCAAGTATAGTTTTTTTTGTTTGAATGAATAATTTATCAACTATAGTTCACTATAAAATGTTGTTACATGTACACTAACTCATGGTTTACGTATTGTGGTTATTTTTTATTTATTTTTTCTAAGTTCTCTTCACTAGAAAATTCGTAGTTTTAATTGGTAAAGTGAGAAAGAGTAAAAGAGGACACATATGGATGAATTGGTTAAGTGATATGTTTCGTGGTCAAGGCCAGAGCTAAGTGCAGATTCTACCAACATTTAAATCAGAATAAATCTATTAAGATTTCTCTTGCGACTTCGTTTCACTTCTATGTAAAATATGATCCAAATTTAGTTTAGCTATTGTCTATTTCTTACCTCCGGAATATTAGTGAGGTAGGAATCGATTTAGGAGGATAAGTGCTACCACACATTAACTAGTTTTGCCTCTTTTAAAATTCAAATTTGTTGAACTTTTATATATAAGAAAAAAAAAATCAAACTAAACTGGATCGTTGTCCAATGTGTGTGTGTGCCTGTGTCGAGATAGAAGACAAAAAATTATGTGGAGAGATATTAGTAAATGATATTAATGACTATAAGTTAATGACTAGCTACCGTCAGACAGGATTTTTATTAATCGGCATTATGTTTTGATGCGGCGATTAATAAATAAAATAAGATCCCAAAATGCGTTTACTTTGACTTACCCATGTGCAAATACCAACGCAACGGTTATTATTTAACGATTTTGTTTTTAACTCTTCCACAACAAACATTTTAGTATTGCCAAAGAAATCTTAAGTGGGTCAACACATGCGATACGAGTTGCGTTTGAGTGTTTTTTTTTCAATTAAAATAACAAAAAAGGCATTTAATTAGGGATTTGATTGCTACTTGTGAATTCACGAGACATAAGTATCCAAGAAAGAAGCAACGTGAATATTTATCCCTTGATTCATGCCTTGTCAACTCCTCTAGAAGGTTTTCTCTTCTTAGGGAACACATTTGGATCTATAGATATACTTACACTTTAAATGGTCCTAATTAATCACCTAACTCAACCAATTAAACGAATCCACATGCACTTCTAATGTTCTATGCATATGAGTAAAGACGTACGTATGCTATATTATTATATATCGTTCTCTTAGTTTTTTCTTTTTATATTTAGAAGATTTGACTACTGTATATGATATGTTATGTTATAGTATATCCCAATACTCTAAAATAATGTTTGAGTACTGTCGCGGGATTACGTGATAGTGGAAGATTGGTGACTCGTGACTCGGAACCCTGTGACTCGTGACCGGAGTGAAATTATTATTCTAGGTTCTAACAATTGATTATCCTGATTTCTCGCTTTAAAAATAAAAACAAATAATGTTTTTCTCCTGTTTTTTTTTTTTAATTAATCCACTACGTTTTTGAGATCCTAAACGTATCCAAGAAGCAACCCTAGGGGCAGTCAAATTTTAAAAATATTTTTTCTTTATCGTTCGGTGATACGAATCTACCTTTTCTAGTTTTCTACCACCTATTTATGTTATTTTAAATAATGTGATTCTACAACTGAACCATCAAAAGATCACTAATTTCATCCATATTATTGGGATAATTTAGCTAATACAAATCCCTTAATAATTACTACTATATAACATTGAAAAAACTCAAAAAGAAAAGCAAGCAAAATAGGTTGGTTCTTCCTGCTCGCGATCTAACGGCAGTAAGGAAAGAGGAGTAAACGAAGGATGACGCGTGGCCATTGGATTGGAGAAGGTGCCAGGTGGACACTTTAGTTAATGGGACCTACAAGCCGACAAAAAGAAGACACGTGTAAAATATTTTTTGCAAAAAACGTTCCCTAGAAGGAGTAACATACGCCACCATTGATGTCCGTCCGCAACCCAACGCCAACACCGAGCCGCGCGTCTTTTGGCCGACCTTTGATTGAGACGCTTTCTTTAATTATCTGTTTTATTTTAAAACTCTTCCATTAACAAATTTCAAAATTAAGAAGTTCAACTAGGCAAAAAAAACAACCAAAATGTTTTGAGTTACTGCAATAATACTAGAACTGATCCTATAATAGTCAGGTCGTGACTAGTAATATGTCTAACCAGGAAATTGTAAGAAATAAATTTATATAAAATGGGTTACTAAAAAAAGGGGGAAAACAAAATCATGGAAGCATGCAAAAGGAGAGCTAAGTTTGCAAGCAAATTATACGGGAGTGGGTCACCACTCAACTCTTGTACACCACACGTGCATGCTTCTTCTTCTTCTTCTTCCCCTTTTTTTTTTGGTTTTACAAAATAAAAAACAAACTAATTAGTTTTTGCAAAGCCGAGGTAAACAAATTCAAAAAGGATAAAGCAAATTCCTATATAGTAGCAAAATCGGTAAAAAATAACAAAAAGAGAAATTCAAATCTTGACTTTGTTTAGCTTTCGCTTTTTTTCTTTAGTCATCGGGATCACCGCTGTTTATAAAAAGATCCATGAGGCATGCAGGAGTTATATTAATCTGGGCCCTTTACTTTGATCTATTCCGATTTTCTTTGGGTCCACGTTTTTTTTAAATATATACTATAATCTTAAATTATACTCATTCAGCCTTCATCAATAATTGGTGTTACTAATGTATAAAAAACGCTTATCTTCACGTAATTAGAATTGTGTATTTTCTATTATGTGAAAAAGCGATTTCTTTGATTTAATACAATTCAACAGTAGACACAGTTTGTGATATGCAATCTGCAACGTATACATGTTCCAAACTGAACTACATATATCTTATCATAACCTTGCTATATGTTTCCACATACTGTATTTCGATTTTCGATACAAAAATATATATACACTCCATACACTACAACATTATATGTACTATATGGTATACCTTTAATACTAGAGTTTTACAAGTTTTCTGCGTTCTCTTGACAAATTTTCCTTACCCTTAATAATTATTTAAAACTAATAGTATTAATTCTTCCTCACGAAGTTGTAAGAAGAAGAATATTTTACCTGCGCTGCAGGCTTTTTATCAGATTTTTTTCTTTGCATAATCTCACATTCCAAAAGACAAAAAGAAAATGTGAACACGGTCCATTAAACTCGGCCTTTTCTATACATATATTAATATATCATATATATATATGATACTAATATATGTTATTCTCCACCACTTTAAATTATAAAAACGCCGAGATTTTAGATTCATACGTGCTTCTTTCCTGATCAAAAGGAGTGTCGATCACATTTTTCTTTTCTCTTTACAAATTTACTAGTGATCCTTTGTCTAGTAACCCACCGAAACAATACTAAGAATTTCATTTAAAATTATTTTTGGTCACGGACAACGGTCTCACCGCCCACACATGTCTCATGGCTTGAGCCTACCTATTATGACTACAGATAATACATATTGAAACAATTAAAGAAATAATAAGGACAACTTTTATAAGAACAAGTTTTTGTGTTCACATTAATAAAAACTAAAAAGAGGATTCCCATGCACACGACCCAACACCAAGAGCCTTTCACATTAATTTGAGCCAACAACTATTTAATATTTATTTTGGTTCTTATTTCACACTAGCTCTAGAAACCGGTTAACAATTGAACCAGTCAAAAACCGGACGTATGAAAGCGTTTACTGTCTTCTCTGACTTACGCGTTGACCAATGACTAGAGTATTTTGAAAAACCTTCGTGTGATATTTTAACCGGTTACTGTAACTATCCGTACTGTATATTACCTGCTATTGCCGGTCAATAAAAGAAATCCATGAGCACCATTTAACACAGTGTGACAAATATCAAATCCTTCAGTCATTATTATCTCTTTACTCTCTCACGCCAAAAACTTCCTCTCTCTCATCTTCTAACCCTAAAAACTCGTCCTTTACAAAAGGATCGATCTTTTGTATTTTTGAGTTTGTCATTTGTTTAGTGTTCGATCTCTGTTTTGATGCGATTTCTCTGCTTTTAACGGCGATTGATTGATTTTTTCCGGCAAAGCTGAGTGAGAGAAGAAGAAGAAGAACAATGGAGTTTACAGATTTCTCAAAGACGAGTTTTTATTACCCGTCGTCGCAAAGCGTTTGGGATCTCGGAGATTTAGCGGCGGCGGAGAGGAATTCTTTAGGGTTTATGGAGTTATTGGGTTCTCAGCATCAAGACTTTGCTACTGTTTCTCCTCATTCCTTCCTTCTCGAACCGCAACTGCAACCATCGGCGAAGCTGTCTTCAAGTATCCTTCAAGCTCCACCGTCAGAGCAATTAGTGACGTCAAAGGTGGAGCCTTTGTGTTCGGATCATTTGTTGGCAAACCCACCGGCGACTCCTAACTCGTCATCGATTTCGTCTGCTTCAAGCGAGGCTCTAAATGAAGAGAAACCGAAACGAGAAGGCAACGAAGAAGATGAACAAGAAGAGAAGAGTCATACTAAGAAACAGTGAGTTTCATTCATTCTATCTTCTTCAAATTTCTCACTTTTTTTTTAAGTAGAGAAGCTGTTCGATAAAAAGACCCAGAGAGAAAAAAAAGTGGTATATATCCTAAAGAAAGCATTTTTAATGTTTTGGCGTAAGAACAGGTTAAAACCAAAGAAGAATAATCAGAAGAGACAGAGAGAGGCAAGAGTCGCATTCATGACAAAGAGTGAGGTTGATCATCTCGAAGATGGTTATCGCTGGAGAAAATATGGTCAAAAAGCTGTCAAAAACAGTCCTTTTCCCAGGTATCAACATATATCATCAGAAAATGCCTTTTTTTCCTTGTTGTTTCTTCTTTTTGATTTCCTCTTGGGGACATGCATATTATGTTAATTTGTTGGATCTAGTGTCCCATTGTTTCTTAATGTTAGTGTTTACTAATTAAAATCACTGTTTACAATTTCCAAAGAAAGACTAAAATGTTGATTTTGTGTAATGGTGTTTCGTTTGCAGGAGTTACTACCGTTGCACAACGGCTTCATGTAACGTGAAGAAGAGAGTGGAGAGATCATTCAGAGATCCAAGCACTGTGGTTACAACCTACGAAGGTCAACACACACACATTAGTCCACTCACGTCTCGTCCTATTTCCACTGGAGGTTTCTTCGGATCATCAGGAGCTGCTTCGAATCTCGGTAATGGTTGCTTTGGGTTTCCTATTGATGGCTCTACGTTAATCTCCCCTCAGTTCCAACAGCTTGTCCATTACCACCACCAACAACAACAACAAGAACTCATGTCATGTTTTGGAGGAGTCGGTGAGTACCTTAATAGCCACGCAAATGAGTATGATGATGATAATCGTGTGAAGAAGAGTCGAGTTTTGGTTAAAGATAATGGACTTCTTCAAGATGTTGTTCCGTCTCATATGTTGAAGGAAGAGTAGTATATAGTTTTCTTATAGTATTTAATCTAGTTTTTTTCTTTTCTTGCTGTATAATTGTCTAAAAGAAACGGATCTTTTGTCCTCGTGAAGATGTTTTCTTGTGGTTCTAAAATCGTTAGGTAATGAATGTATCAAGCCGCGAAAGTACTTATGATTTTTCACCATGGAATCAAATAGGAAAGTAATTATAATTTATATTATAACACAAAAATGCACTAGTTTTTATAATAATGTGTGTACTGGTTAACATGGTTTTGTAAATACTAAATAGTATGATTGGCAAAAACTTCTTAATCGCACAATAGTTTGTCGTTTTGTAAATTACTGATCATGGTCTATATAACAATGGTCGTCTTTTTAAATTTGTAATGGGCTTTGCATGAACACTATGTTCATAGCTAGGCTTTGTAGTTTGTGTTTTTTTTTAATCGAAAACTTATTTGATCTACGGTTCTAATGTGTTATAGCCTTCTAGGGTTTCAGGTTATTCTATTTCTACTCAAAGACACAGTCAGACAGTTAATGGTTTTTTTTTTGCTTCGCTTCAATATATGTCTTGGAATCTGGAAAATTAACTAGTTTCATATTCCCTCCGTTTCGTTTTAGTTGTCGTTTAAGGTTTTCGCACACAAATTAAGAAAATCATTAAATTTTTTGTTTTACCCTTTATTAATATATTTTATAATTTTTTCATTGGTCAAAACATTAAAACATTAATGACAAAACATGAATTTTCACCAAACATTTGCATTGAAAACCTAAAACGACAACTATTATGAAACAAAATTTTAATCCTAAAACGACAACTAAACTGAAACGGAGGGAGTAGTAATCAACAAGATTAATTAAGCGAGATAACTAAAGGGGAAATTGGAAGCATAAACCCAACTACTTCTACCTACTCTTCGCTATGTTAAAAATTCATGATTTCTCTTATTTTATTTTTTAGTTTTATTTAACCCTTTTGTTCTTCTTGCTGTTTCATGATTACACTGCGGTGAAGAATAAGACGTATGCACTGTGTTATTGTCGTTAGCTTTTCATTTATTTTTTAAACTTCGAAAACAAAAGAGAAAAATTTGTCACCCTCTTCACAATTTTTCCTTTTTTTTTACCCTCTTCACTATTACTAGGTATGATGTGATGAAGACTCGTCTTCTGGTTAACTTAGCATATAGTAAACGCTAATGCAATTTCCTTCTTTTTTGTTGCAAACAAACTAAATCATGAATCTAATTAATGCTTGGCAACAATTTGGGTTATCTTTTTTAAAAAGGTTTTGGTTAAAAGGGTTGTGAAACAGAGAAATAACAATCAAAGTTTGTGTCATCCCCAAAGTGCATAGACTTGTGGGAAGAAAATGGTAAAATCAAACAATATAAAGAAATAACCAAAAAGTAAAAAGTAGAGAAACAAGTTACCATGCAAATAAACTTTTTTTTCCTTTTTCTTTTTGTTACTTTATTAGCCATGTGTGTGTGTGTGAGAAAATGTTCTACATAAGAGAACAAGGAAGCAAAAAACAATCTTATGAGGCAATATCACTTTTTTGTCTTTTTGTCTAGTGAGTGCATAGCAACGCCATTGGCTTTAGTATGTTTGTATTGACCTTTACGGTGAGTGATAATCCCAAACCGAAGAAGGTACATAATCATTGTCCCAAACAAAGCCACGAATGCAACCGAAAGCAAACGTACCAAAACTCTCGATGGCTTAAAAGTAAATGACTAAAAGACAAAACCTAAGAAAGAGACCCATTGATTCAAAGAAAACAACTAACAATTTTGCTCATCAGGGTGACACAATAATGGTTTTTAGAATTCTTCCAAGTTTATTCCACTTTCAATACACATTTGTTGGATCCTAAAGACTCTCAAGCCGTAACATGAAAATTGATCAACTGATTTGATTTGAAGAGTAAAGAGTTAATCAACATGGGCCAAGCCCAATGTAACCCAATTAAAAAAAACTTAACGGGCCTTGATGGTCGTAAAGAAACCAGGGGTTAAATAATAAATTAGATCAAATATATGGTTCGCCTTAAAGAAGGTAAAATCCTCGCGCCACAAACCCTAGCAGCTTTCCTTTTCCTTTTTCCGCTGATATTCGTTGTTCATTGGTCTCTCAATTCGTCATCGTAATGGGTACGGAGAGAAAGCGCAAGGTTAGTTTATTCGATGTTATGGAAGATCCTTCTCTTTCGTCGAAGAACACCAAATCCAATGGTCTCGGAGTTGTGGCGGCGGCTGGCGGTGGAAGCAATCTGATCAACAAATGGAACGGAAAGGCTTATTCTCAGAGGTATTTTGAGATTCTGGAGAAGAGAAGAGATCTTCCTGTTTGGCTCCAGAAAGATGAGTTTCTCAATACTTTGAAATCTAATCAGACTCTCATACTCGTTGGTGAAACTGGTAGTGGTAAAACTACACAGGTGGGTGAAGCTTTCAATTTCTCAATTATTGATCTCGATTTGGAATTAGTGTTTAGTGTGATCGAATTTTAACTGTAAAAAGGCTCTTGTATTGTACAGATTCCACAGTTTGTATTAGATGCTGTGGTGGCTGACAACTCCGATAAGGGAAAGAAATGGTTGGTTGGATGTACCCAGCCTCGTCGAGTTGCTGCAATGTCTGTGTCTCGTCGTGTTGCTGATGAAATGGATGTCACCATTGGAGAAGAAGTTGGTTATAGCATTCGTTTTGAGGATTGTACTAGCTCTCGTACTATGCTTAAGTCAGTGTTTTCTTCTTTTCTTTGGCTTCTCATTTTATAACGTTTATGTTGTGATCTGATCTAATCATCATAACCTTTCCCTCTCTCTCGTTGTTACAGGTATTTGACTGATGGTATGCTGTTGAGAGAGGCAATGGCGGATCCACTTTTAGAGAGATACAAAGTTATTATTCTCGATGAAGCTCATGAAAGAACTCTAGCCACGGATGTGCTCTTTGGTCTTCTCAAAGAGGTCTTGAGGAATAGGCCTGACCTTAAGCTAGTTGTCATGAGTGCAACCTTAGAAGCTGAAAAGTTTCAGGAATATTTTAGCGGTGCTCCTCTTATGAAAGTCCCTGGTAGGCTTCATCCTGTTGAGATCTTTTATACACAGGAACCTGAGAGGGACTATCTTGAGGCTGCTATTAGGACAGTTGTTCAGATACACATGTGCGAGCCACCTGGAGATATTCTTGTTTTCTTAACTGGGGAGGAGGAGATAGAAGATGCTTGCCGTAAAATCAATAAAGAGGTCAGTAATCTTGGAGATCAAGTGGGTCCTGTCAAAGTTGTGCCATTGTATTCTACTCTTCCACCTGCGATGCAGCAGAAGATTTTCGACCCTGCTCCAGAGCTGTTAACTGAAGGTGGTCCTGCTGGACGAAAGATTGTTGTCTCAACCAACATTGCTGAAACGTCTCTAACCATTGATGGGATTGTTTATGTTATTGACCCTGGTTTTGCTAAGCAGAAAGTCTACAACCCACGGATTCGTGTTGAGTCATTGTTGGTGTCCCCAATATCAAAGGCAAGTGCTCACCAGAGATCAGGTCGTGCTGGTAGAACTCGGCCTGGAAAATGTTTTAGGCTCTACACAGAGAAGAGTTTCAACAATGATCTGCAGCCACAGACATATCCTGAGATTTTGAGATCCAACCTTGCAAATACAGTCCTGACATTGAAAAAGCTTGGTATTGATGATTTGGTGCACTTTGATTTCATGGATCCTCCTGCTCCTGAGACACTGATGCGGGCATTAGAGGTTTTGAATTATTTGGGAGCACTGGATGATGAAGGTAACTTGACAAAGACGGGTGAAATAATGAGTGAATTTCCCTTGGATCCACAAATGTCAAAGATGCTCATAGTCAGTCCTGAATTCAACTGTTCGAACGAGATTCTCTCGGTTTCTGCAATGTTATCAGGTGCGTCTTCTGCTCGTATTAGTTTGCTTTGCCTTCTCCAAAGTTTATTGTAGATATCTGTGTTCTTGAGCGTGCTAGTCATATCCATTTACGGCAATAAGTCTCTGTGTATGAGAACGCATCTACAAGCATGTCATATATAGATGAACATCTACTGCATACAAGCATCCCATGTGTCTTCTTGAAATTCGTTAGTGTGTGTGTTTGCCATACGATTTAAATATTAGAGTTAGGTTGTCATAAGCAGCTCACTAGTTTGGGTTCTCCATGTCCATGGTTGGGGATTTCTAAGTAAAACCTGATGCATCTAGTTGCAGTTTCTCAGTATTCTCTCAAGCAAATGGTATCGTCTCTCGCCTCTATGCATCTGCTGACCTCTTCCATGGGCATATTCTGTTATAAAAACAATTCTTTCTCTAGTACCGAATTGCTTTGTCCGGCCTAGAGAGGCTCAAAAAGCAGCAGATGAAGCTAAAGCTAGGTTTGGACACATTGATGGAGATCACCTCACGTTGCTAAACGTGTACCACGCCTATAAGCAAAACAGTGAGTTGTCTTTTCTCTATCTGCCATTTTTCTCTTATAGCTGCTTAAAACAAATGAATTTACCTCACCAAACCTGCTCACTTGAAATTCTCATAGATGAAGACCCAAACTGGTGTTTCGAGAACTTTGTCAACAACAGAGCAATGAAGTCTGCAGACAATGTTAGACAGCAGCTAGTGCGGATAATGTCGAGGTTTAATCTGAAGATGTGCAGCACGGATTTCAACAGCCGTGACTACTATGTCAACATAAGAAAGGCCATGCTTGCTGGTTATTTTATGCAGGTGGCTCACCTAGAACGCACTGGCCATTACTTGACCGTCAAAGATAACCAAGTATGTCTTGTTTTTTGCATCCTGTTACAGATTTTGATTTCCCCATTATAGAGAGACTCCTTATAGCTTACATCTGACGGGTTGCCTGTAAATTCTGTGGCAGGTGGTTCACTTGCATCCATCTAATTGCCTGGATCACAAACCAGAGTGGGTGATTTACAATGAATATGTCTTGACTACTCGGAATTTCATACGCACTGTTACAGATATCCGCGGTGAATGGTTAGTTTCCATCTCTTGTGCCTGTTATCTCTTGTCTATAAACATCCGATCAATTAAAAATATCTGTAAGAACCGACTATCTTTTCTTGTATACAGGTTAGTAGATGTTGCTCCGCATTACTATGATCTTTCCAACTTCCCCAACTGTGAAGCAAAACGAGTCCTCGAGAAGCTTTACAAGAAGAGAGAGAGGGAAAAGGACGGGAGCAAGAACCGAAAGTGAAGAGAATCACTCTCTTTGCTTCCACTAGAGGAAGATTGTCTTAGTCACAAGACCACTGTGCTTTACCCTCGTGTTAAATTATGTTGAATACTTTGCTTTGTTTATGTTCAATGAAAGAATCTTGCATTACCCCAAGTGTGTTCTTTTAAAACCTTTATACCTTTGAAATTCTTCTCAATAGGTGATCAACATATTACAAAAGCTCTGTTTCGCATCTCTATATAACATTGTTTCTGATAATATAAGTATGAGCTTCAACCTTCAATCCAGTATAACTGTTATTAAAAGATAAGAGTCAGTGCTAAACGGTGCCGTCTTCGATATGGGGGTATATATGCTATTTCAAGAAACTGATGGGTCAAAAAGAGAAAATTCGAGGTTAAATGTTACTTGCCGTTGAATCAATTGGAAGATTTGAGATTTCATCAGGACCTTATTGTTTAAGCAACCACAACATGAAGAAACTCACACTTGGCTACAATGACGATGTTGATGGCTTGGCCAAAATTCATAAGAGATTTAAATACTATTGGCTAAGATATATAGGGATATGATTTCCCAGTTATAACTATTATTACTCGATGATGTTAATCTATACACAATTTTTTTTAGAGTATTTAGTACCAAGAGATTTCTCATATTATTTCCATTATTAATTCTCTATATTGTGATACATATTTATCTAGGATTATCCTTTCTAGAGTTTTCCATTAAAACCCAATCAGTATGTTCCAGAATGTTGGAGCAAATTGTTAACGGGACAATTTTTACCTTTACTTTTTTTTTTTCCTCTTTTTACCTTTACTTTTGGCAAGACAAATTGGCTAGGTAAATATATTTCCATTTTCTAAAATAAGTCTAGAGCATCAATTCAAGTTCGGGCAGATTTCCAAAAAAAGTTTGTGCACTGTTTTTCCTTTTTTTTTTTTTTTCTAGAAGAAAAAGTCTGGAGCTTTTTACATATACAAACCAAAACTTAGCCTAGTCATATCTCTTCATAACTAAAATCCATTGTCTTCTAACTTTGCTCTAGTCTAGACTTTTGAATCTTTTCCTTTTTTTTTTGGTTCGGTGATAATGTCGGGTAAAGGAGGAGGTCCAAGGATCGGTATCGATCTCGGTACTACAAATTCTTGCGTGAGTGAGATCATCCCTAATGATCAAGGTAACCAAACCTGTTTTTTCCTTTGATCTTGTTTTTAATTAGCTTATCTTTTCGGAATTAAATTCTCTATGTGTGTTTTTTTTTTGGTAATTGTGGCAGATGCAAAGAAACAGAAAGATGATGAAGAAGCTAAGCAACTATTAGTAGATATGATAGTGAATGAGACAATTAAGAATACAAATTTCATGCAAAACTTAATGAAAACTAAAGTAGATACTGAATGGGACGAAAAAAGAAAACAAGAAAAAGAGGAGCTGAAGAAGAAAAGAGATGAGATGAAGAAAAAAAGAGAGGAGCAGCAGAAGAATAAACAAGATAAGGCCATGGGAAAGAAGAATAAAAAATAATTGGTTTAGCCTAATTGTAATGACTTATTACGGATTACTGGTTTATGGTTTTTATAAATCCAGTGTTAATTGTTCCTTAATTTTAAAATTCATATCAAAATACAGTATTATTGATTCTACATATAGATAATAATTAAAATTATGTGTTTTTCAATCTTTACCAATTTACCAACTTAAATTGGCGAGTGTTGGGACTTGGGAGTCTTGGAGAGGTCGTTTCCTTTCTTAATTAAATTATCTTGTGTAAATTGTGTTTCATCTTTTATCCTTTTCCACTTAAATTGTTTATTAACTTGACGAAATCTTCAACAGATGCTAGCTTTGGCCAAAATTCATACGATTTTAATTACTATTGGCTTCTGAAAGATGTCACGTCATCACTTAAAAGTTGAAAACATTTTAAAAGCATGGTGTCTAAACTTGACTCTCCAGTTTCACCTACAACCGCTTGAATCAATCACTGTCAGATTCCTCATCCTCCTCATCCTCCTCATCCTCCTCATCCTCCTCATCCTCCTCCGCTGCTAAGTTTCCAAAACACAAAACATGTGAGATATACAACAACAACAAACAAGAGACAACAAAACATGGCATATGAATGAGCAAACTACAGTTAGATAAACGAGTACTGACCTGATAGTGGTTCGTCAACTTTCTTGCAATACATCACGTAGATAGCGTTTTCCATCGGATCCAAGCTTGAATACTGGTGGAGTTTCCACCTGTTGTCTTCCCTGGGAGAAGGCTTGAGAACGCAATGCCTGACTCCATCATAGACCTTGCTACGATCTTCAACCCATTTGAAACCAGAAGCTGCAGGAATCTGAGACGATCCAATGAACAACCACTGGCGAAAGTCTTCCCAATCAAAAAACTCGAAAGTGAACATACCTGCAAGGAGTGAGACACAAGAGTTATCTATGTATATAATTACAACAATGATGATATTATATAAGATAAGAAACTCAAGAGTGATAGAAACAATACTTGACAGCCAAGGAGGGTTTTGGAACACTTGATGGGAGAGTCGAGGAACTCCGCTCTCCTTTCCAGCCTTGATCAAGTTGAAAATCTTGTTAGCAATGAGGGCGAATTCACTGGTTGAAGTATACACGGTCGACAGCAAAAACGGGTCTGTGGATTGTGCATCGGAAGTGGCCATCTGTTCGCAGCTCACATGGCAATACTCCAAAGGTCGTAGAGGGAGACGTCTACAGTCCCATCTCACACATTGATCTTTGTGTCTGTTAGTGAGGATGATCTGACGATTATTGGGATCCATGATTTTCTTACCTGAGAAGCTAATAGAGACAATTCTTAGTTTCAGTACCAATAAGAACACAATACAATGTTGAACAAGAAACTCAATATCAACAATGTCACAATAATCACTACAACTAAGAAGAAGTGAGCAAAAATAATCAGAGTGAAGTTTCAAATAATGGAACACCAAAGCAGCATCATAATCCACAGATCATTGTTGAAAATCTAAGCTACTTGAGAACAATCAGAGTGAAATTTGACAAGAGGTCTAATGTCACAATAATCACTAGAGTGGTTCGACGAAGAAGTGAGCAAATAATCAGAGTGAAACTTCACAAGAGTTCTAATGGAACATCTAAGCATTATCATCCACAGATCATTGTTGAATATTGCGATATCTAAGCTACTAGAGAACAATCAGAAGAAACAAATCATCGAAAACCTAAGATGAACAATGTACAGAAGAATCGGAGAAATTTCAACAAAGAACTATTCAAGCAATCTACGATTCGAAACCCTAACCTTTTTAGCAGCGGAGAAATCTTCTAGAGTAGAGTCGAGATCACTTCTTCACTCTTTCGCTCTCGATTTTTCCATCAATGGAATGTTCCAGAAAGAGAGTGAGTGAGAGACCTTAATATTTCTCTCTCACTTTGCTTTCGTTTTATGGGCCTTTATGTTAAAAGCCCAAATAATTAAAACTGGCCCTTTTGTCGTTGATGTACGATAATTAATTAATAAGGTAACTATTGATTATTTAAACCTAGTAATAGTTATGATGTAAATGGTCATATAACATAAAAGTAAAACATTACACAAGTACAAGGTTCATTTTTATCAACTATCTATATATACATTTTTGGTGAAGATTTGGCTTCAAAAATCCTTTTACAATTTCAATATTGTACATTTAGTCCCTACAAATAAAATCTAGAAAAAATATATGTCTTAATCAAATTTACAAATCAATAAATAAACTCTTAAAACATTTCCTATTTTTATGATTACGAGATATCAAATCCTAACATTTGGAAGTCAAATATTCAAAATTAAAAATCTTAATCACCATAATGGAAACTACTAAAACAATAAAATCGTGATATATAAACTACTAACAATAGCTAATACTAATCAAATCTTAATTACCATAGCTTGATAATGCTATTAAATATAATCTTAATCATATCTAGCAAATGGAAACTACTAAAACAATAAAATCGTGATCAAATCTCTCCATCAATTTTCGTCGAATACTTTCTAAAATCCCCAATCCGAGATTTCTGCTTTCAATTAATTACTCCTTGCATACCATTTTCGATATTTCTTTCTCTCCAAGATCTCTAACTAAACGATTTTTAGAAACAAACTAATGACGCATCTCCACAAAAATCCCCGCGTTTCTTTTCAAAATAAATATTCCGAGAAATCTTCAAGAAATCAATTTTTGGAAACAGATTTATGACTCAAATTATATATTGATAGCATATTCCTATATACAAAACTATTTCAGAGATTTTATTCCAATTTAGTTACGGTATGGAATATTTTATGCTTTGTGATCAAGAAATTTTTTACCTAACTTATGAGCCTATAAATACTCCTTATACTTGACGTCTCATAATATCATCAAGCACACAAAATCAACGTTCTAAAAGAATCAGCAAACACACCTTAATTCTCTTCAAATGGCTGCTAAGACCGAACAAGTGCTTGTGCTTGCAAGAACCTGTGGAGATGTTCATAATCTGATCCGCTTCGAAGATGTGTTCTGTCCGAATCCGAAAATTGAAAACCCAGAATTGAAGATCAAGGATCCCAAGGAAAATGAAGAAGATGAGAGATGAGAATCAGAGAACGTACCGCAATAGAAACCACAAACCGATATTTTGCTTTGATGGGTCCTAAAGGTCTTTTTTGCGCCTTTCTTTTTACTTTTATATAAAGTAACATCTCTTTACTTTTACAACAACTAATTTTTGTTGGAAACGGATCTTTGGTTAATCAAGTGTAAGAAAAATTGGAAGAAAAATTTGAAAGAAGAGTACAAAAAAGAGTAGAAGAAAAATCGTGCAAGGAGAGAAAGAAGAGAAGAAGAAAGAGAAGTCCGCATCATCGGTTGGGGACTTACAACTGACCCGATTTGCTTGCTCTGTAACCAATATCCTCAAAGTAGAGATCACCTCCTCTTCGACTACCCATTTAGCTGGTCAATATGGGAAAGGATTAGTGTAAGATGCAAGATCCGACCGATCAGAAACTGGATTGTTTCTTTTGAAGCTATGCAACAACTATCGGGATCGAAATCGCAGAAAAAACTTACTATCTTGGCTTGGCAGTGCTTGATTTATTCAATCTCATCGGAAAGGAACATGAGACTCCACCGTCAGCAATTTCGTTCAGTCAACTCCATCCTCTCTTCCACGGACGCGACGATTAGGAACCGGTCTTCAAGCTTTCGATAATCAAACCCTAAACTAGCTTCTGAGTTGCTCCTGAGTCGGTTCTCAACTGCATCGCTTCCCTGACAATTTATTACTGAGATCGGACTCCTATATTCAATCAACTGTTGCATTGATGCTTCGTCTTCTTCCATGGTTCGTCGGTGAGGTTTCCATCGATATAATTGATGTTGTTCGATTTGTTTCTTTAATTTGGGTTGGGCTATTTAATGTCTCAATTATGGGATGGACTTAAAACCAATGTTATTGTCAAATTATCTCCACGAGCATGTGATCTTCCATGTATTTTTAATCTACTCTTTGTTTTTTCGTTTGATGAGTTTTAATTGTGTGTGGATATCATTGTTGTGATGTAGTTGAAATTCCAATAACGACTATGGTCGTGGGTTGATGATATCAATTATGAACATGTAAGTATTTTTTTTTTAATTTAGTCCTAATCTGTTGTCTTTAATTTAATGAGTCTTTTATTTTATTTTTATTTTTCTTTTTCCAACAGTCCTTTGTGATAAATATGAATTAAAAATATATTTTTTTCCTTTTGATATTGGCTGAAAATCTATATATACTTTGTTGGAGAAGATTTTGGGTCAAAAATCCTTTTATAATTTCTTATTTATACTATTAGTCCCTACAAAATCTATCAAACAAAAATATTGTCTTTAGCAAATTTTACAAAACAATAAATTAACTCACAAAATTTCCTAATATTGAGATAACAAGATTTGATATTCAAAGATATGGAAATCAAATATTCAATTTTAAATGCTATTAAACATGATGTTATTTAGCAAATTTCGGATCCTAATAATTTGAGACATTCCTTAAAAAAATATTGACGCAAATAAATGATTGATTTAGTAAATATATGTAGTTATAACAAATATATATTCGGGATGCTAATCGTTTCCTAAATAGATGCTAATTAGTTAAGTGCAATTCACATTTCTTACCTAAATAAAATGAACTACATTAATTCCGTATTCAATCCACCTAAAAGATTTTGGAAATTTTCTCATGATAAACGATTTTTAAAGATATTATCCTAAAATGGTTAAAAATATATGTAGCATATTCTAAATTTGTTATGATTTAAAGATTTTCGAATATAACAAAAATTTGTTATATTTAATGAAAGATCTTTTGCAATAATCTCTATTCTTTGTTTCTAAAATTTCGATTATTTTATGTGATATTAACTAATTACTCCCGCATAAAATCGCCTAAAATTGCGATAACGAGATTTGATGTTCAAAGATATAGAAATCAAATATACAATTTTAAATGATATTAAATTGATCCGAAAATAATTCAAACGGATTTTTGATAAGATTTACCATAAACGACTTAAATCATTAATGAAAAAAATTTAATGAGAAAATCAATAACAAATAATCAATTATAGTAACAAACTTAAAGCATATTCTTTAAACAATCATATATTAATTATACGGGACGGTATATTACGGGTAAAATCTTAGATATAATAATCAAAATACAATTATGAAGTTTGGATCGATAAAATATTATATATATTGGAACTTTATAAGAAAATGACAAAATAATGTTTAATTTCACGAGACGAGGTTATATGGTGGGATAGGTTATAGTCAATATTAATACGGGATGGTATACTACGGGTGAAATCTATAATTAACAATCAAAATACACTTATACACTCTTAAACACTAAACAAAACAAATACAACATAAAATTTCTTTTTTTTTTTGTTATAAAATATCGTCCCGCGGTGTACCGCGGGTCAATCACTAGTCGTTATACATAACATAATCATTGTTTATTAATAGCACACACGATATATATTAATATATTATGATCACAAACAACACTCTCAGCTTCTCTTTGCCGCCAATTTTCGGTACATTTCGTCGATTGATACCTGTATAGTGGAACGTATTGAATAATTGCAAACATTTAGATTCAGCAGTAACCAATCTATAGAAATTGAAGTGTAATTATGATTAGGATAATCGAAACCTGATAATACTTAAGAAGATTGGTCCTCCTATTTTTCAAGGTCGCAGTCACCAAGTCTCTCTCTACATCAAAAGGTTTTGTCTCCACCGTCACAGCTTTTATGTACTCAAACCTGCTTAGCTATTTTTTTTTCCACATCGACAAAATAAGTTTTTTATTTGATTGTAATTCTTTAGAATAAATTTTGATTTCAGAAAAAATCACACAAACCTTGCTCTTCTCTGCCGTGGACTTCAGTTCTGAAACGATGTATTCTTTAAGCTCCGGGAGAGAACAGAGTTCTTCGAATGGTTTAGTAAAACCGAGATCTTTAGCCCACCGGTTTAGGGTTTCTGGATTGGGAACAATCACCGCCACAAGCATAGATTTGAAGCTGTCTCCATAAACCCATATCTGAGAAGAAAATTATGACACAAAAATAATAATAATCAGACTACGGATTTTAAGATAATTGAAGAAAACCTTAAAGCGATTTCTTTCTGGACAAGAAACAGTTGAAAACCTCACATCTTGGACAATAGGGTTTTGTCCGTAGATGCTTTCCAAATGCTCAAGAGCAACATATTCTCCTTGAGAGAGTTTGATCAGGTTCTTCTTACGATCGATGATCTTAAGTAATCCGTTTGGAAGAATCTCACCTATGTCTCCTGTTGAAAAACACCAATAACAATTCAAAAACAAGAATCTAAACAATTGAAATCTCAAATTTGTTTGAATCAATCACCTGTATGGAACCATCCGTCTTTCATGACTTCTTCAGTGAGTTCAGGGTTCTTGTAATACCCAGAAAACAGACATTTTCCTCTTATACAGATCTCCCCTGCCGGATTTTCTCCCAATGGGTCATAGCCCATTTCCGGAACCTCCTCAAGCCGTATCTCATTGTAAACCGCTGGAATACCGACCGTCCCGAGCATACACATCTCGTCCGGATAACCCAAAGTTGTTCCTCCAAGCGTCTCCGTTAGACCTAAAGCACACAATCCCAGCAAAATTGACTTTCCTTGAAAATCAAGAAACAGAGTAGAAACCCTATAATGCCCAAGCATGTATATGTACCATAGCCTTGAACGACGAGACAACAAGAAGTAACTCTCAAGAACTCTTCGATCTCAAGACTCAGTGGTGCTCCTCCAGATACTAGCAACCGAATTCTACCTCCTAATTGGTTTTTAATCTTACATCCAAGTAAGAAAATAAAATCGTGAAATGTTGGCTACATGTAATGATCGAAGTAGAAACAATCCCAAATATGAAGCAGAACCATTCTTTCAACCTTTTTGAAAGCTATGAAGTCAGCCATGGGTGAAGCTTTGCTGTGAGAATATCCACGATTCATCCACGCAAGTTTGCTGCATCATTAGTATAACAAGGGTAGTGAAAAGAAAAGAAAAACAAACAGAGTAGATACAAAACAGAAAGATGTCATAAAATAAAATATACTCATTTACCGTAGATATAGATTGCAAAATTTGTAAATCAATATGCAGAACTAAACTCATTTAATCAAAAGCTGATATTTTTTTGGTTTTCAGGCAAAAGCTGATATATATGCGTAATGGTAAAGCTTACTATTTATAGAGAGCATAGAAGATGAGTCTCCTTCTTGGGTTAAGCTCCTGAAGAGCTTTCTGAATCCCATCATAGATCCTCTCGAAGACTCTTGGAACTCCCGCCAGAAAAGTCGGTTTCAGTTCTTGAATATCGTCGCGTAACGCATTCAAATCCTAACGCATACAAAAAGAAAACACATCAATTTTTTAATTAGTTCCTAATTATACCCATATTCTTTCCATAATTTGATAAATGATATTATTATGAATCTTAAGAGCTTTATATATACTCCATGGTAATAGCCAACGGAAGCGCCTTTACGGAAGAAGTATTCCTCATTTGCACGGTCGAGGATATGAGCCAACGGCAAAAACGAGAGATATACATCTTCATGTGTCATCTGATCATACAAGGTACGTATAGACGCCCAAGCGAAAACAGAGTATTAGTCGAAAGGAAAAATATGATTAAGCGAGAGGACATCGTTCAGTGTTTATCCCCTATTTAGCAAACATAAGTGAAAATTTATATTTTCCTAACGTATCGTTAGAATGATGTTAATAACTTTTTATGTTCATTGAAATGGCTATAATCTTAACCTAGTATTTTTTTTTTTTTTATAGGAATATCGTAGTTTATAAGGTTTCCTTAAAATTGATTGAGAGCCACCTTGTCCTCGAACTGGTCCAAGCAGAGATCCGCCCCAATAACGCAAGTCGCGGCCGCTTCGTGGGTCAAAACCACACCTTTAGGTTCACCGCTTGTGCCGCTCGTGTACATTATGGTGCACACGTCAGACGGTTTAGGCGGGTTTGTCTCTTTCGGCTTCTCTTGTCCCTGGTCAAATAAATAGTCAACATAATATATTTTAACATTGTTAGTATGGCCACCTAATTCATTTAATTCTATGCGTCTAAAGCAATGTATAATTTCGTCAAGTTGGTTTGGCATGTGCGTGTCATTTAATACCTCAGAGAATTGTAGTAACGTAAAAATAAAATTATGTTAGCAGGATGTAGAAGAGACAAACCATATGGAGAAAATCGAGCCACGAGTATGCTTTGACTCCAATTTCTGAAGCCTTGTAGCTCTGTTCTTCGCCCACATTAGTGAAAGAAACTATAGCTTTTAGACGTTTTGCACTTTTGCAATCTGGCTCAAGAAGCTAAATTTTGAACAGCATATATACAAAAAAAGTTCACGTTAGCAAACATCTTTCAAATGTATAGATTAATTGATGAAAATTAATCTCAACGATCTTAACTCCTCTAATTTTGGTGTTCTGGACGAACACAAAATCGATTTCTGCGTGATCAACGATATAATCGACTGCTCCTGGACCTAAAAAACATCGGATGTAAACAATTCCTTTGAGTCGTGTCCTTGAGTGTTTGAGTCACTAATGTATGCATGGTCACAAGAAAATAGAAATTTACTTACCCAATGTATCGTATAGAGGTACACAGATTAGAGTGTGAGCTGCACAAGCCTAAATATTTTAAAATATATGTATATATTTATTGTTAGATTTACAGATTTACGCGTGGATAGAAAACTAAGTCAGAGAAAGATTTATTAAAAATGAGATAGACCTCCATTGCTATGATCCACTGAGGACAATTAGCTCCATAGATCCCCACTCGACACCCCTACATATATACATTGACCATTTCATTTCGGTAAAAAGTTATGATAATGAAATAATTATGCGGAAATGTATATATATAAAAATTTTACAGGTTCAGCTCCGACGGCTCGTAGTGCTGAGCCGATCAAGAGAACTTCTTCGTATACTTCCTTGTACGTTTTCCACATATACGGTCCAACCTAAACCGATCCATACAAATATAGAAATAAAACAATATGTGCATAGAGTTTTATCAATAAACAGAAGTCCAACATATATCATATAGATTAATTCAAATTGTTGATAAAGAAGTAATATGTTTGTTCTCTATATTTTTAGTATGAAAAATTCAAGAAATTCACCTTCTCATCCACAATTTGACGCCATCCAAGCATCTTGTTATCAGGAAATTTCTCCACAGATTTACTAACAAAACCCAAAAGATATTAATTAATTAACAATTACTATACAAAACTAAAATTAAAGGGATGTCATAAAAAGTGTTCAAAAAAAAAAAGGGATGTCATAAAAGAAAATTAAACCTGAAAATATAATTAACAATGTATATACCTGAAAATGTCCCAAGTAGTGGTGATATCAGAATCTCGAGGAGGAAAACCTTTCTCCGACAAAAGATTCCGGTACACCGGGCCTACAGATGGCTTTCCATCTTCCCCTTTAACTCCTTCTTCCACCTTTGCCGCGAAACACTTCATTTTCTCTTTCTCTCTTATTTTTTCCTTTGAAAGATGACTGAACATATATATTGCATATTTCGTATGATTAGGAAAATACGTAATCGTATAGTTAGATTATTAAACAGAATCGTTGAAATGCTGTTGAAGTTTCGTTAGTTGATCAATGACAGCTAGCTCTCTGCTTACGTATTCCGTACTTTAATTTAGTTACTATGGCCATGTTCTTTTAGGTGTCGCAGCGTATGATTTCAGCGACACTAAATGCAAAGGAAAAAGGAGATAAATGGGTTAGAAAAGTGAGGTCCCTCTCCAATCAAAGGTTTCAGCGACAACAAATTAGGAAGGGATGAAGATCGCTGGATTTTCCGGCGACACCTGCGATTAAATTGTTCTTTGAATTTTTTAGTCGCTACCTCCACACCAGCGATTGTGGAGAAGAAAACTAGAAGAAATAGAGAGAAATTCCAGTCGCTCAAGTTAATCGCAGCGATGCGTAAAAGAACATGGCCATATATACACACATTACATATTTACAATATATTATAATTATTTCATAACAGAAATGACATTAATTGTCTCAATTTTCTCTTTGAGTACATACGTAGTTCTATTCATCACTCTGGTGTAGTTTCTAGCTTTACCTTAGGTTTGAATCGGAATTGAACAGTTGAAATCTTATACAAGCTAATGAAAATTCACGGACAGCACTTAAATAAAAAAAATTCAAGTCAACAATGAAAACCAAGAGGTATTTAACTATTTTTTTTTTGAAAGAATGTAAAATTTATTCAAACAAAAAAACTGTTTTTACATAAGATGTGACTTTGGTGCCTAAACATTTGAGATTTAAAACTGTAAATTAGATCCTTGTCGTTTTCGTGGGACTATGGATTACGGGTAGCAAACCATAACCCGAGGCCCTTTCATACGTGTGTACTCTTTGAATTCGGATGGAGCTGAAGCGATTGCTGACGTTCTTGTCAATGATAGATACAAGACGGGCTGGGGCGATGTTAGTTTCTCCATGGCCGTCGTCCATTCTTTTCTTTCCAAACATGATATATGGTTGCTAGAAAGACATACCGTATGGTGAAGAGGTGAAGCTGAGTATAACTTGACTTGTTTAACAGAGTAATCAACTGATCCCAATCATTAGAGTACTCATTGGCAAGGAACTGACCCATGAGAGAATGCCATACTGCAGATGAGTAACGACATGAGAAGAAAAGATGGCTACGGGATTTATTCGCAGCGCCACAAAATATGCACTCTGTTCTTAATCCCGAGTTCCAGCTTTAACTAGTTACATAACATTATTAGTCATCAAGGTCATGAAGTGTTCGGAAAATGGCTCTGAAGAGTTATTCGCTCTGGAAACGAGTAGAGCTGGATTTAATAATAATGGATTTAACCAAAATTTAATATCACTTTTGAGATATTATGGAAACAGCTAGAGAGTTACATTAAAAACAAAAAAACATAATTAATGATGTAAATGGTCATACAACATAAAAATAAAAATAAAATATTACAGAAAGCATAAAGCTCAAATCTATGAATTATTGATACATATAACATAACTATCAATAATAGCACACACACATCATTGCAGCACTTTCAGATTTTCTTTGACGCCAATTTGCGGTACATTTCGTCGATTTGTACCTGTATAATGGAACGTTAGCGGATAGAATGGCTGCAAATATCTAAATTCAACATTAACTAATATATAAAAGAAAATACAAAAAACGCTAATCTATGAAATTAAAGTGAACTTAAGAAAATTGAAACCTGATAATATTTGAGAAGATTGTTCCTCCGATTCTTGAGTGTCGCAGTCACTAAATCTCTCTCTACGTCGAAAGGTTTTGTCTCCACCGCCACCGCTTTGATGTACTCAAACTTTCTTAGCTATATTTTTCACATCCACAAATAATTAGTTTAGTACTTATTTTAAAATAAAATTGAAGAATTTTGATTCAGACAAAGTCAAACAAACCTTGTTCTTCTCTGCCGTGGACTTCAGTTCTGAAATGATGTGTTCTTTAAGCTCCGGGAAAGAACAGAGTTCTTCGAATGGTTTAGTAAAACCGAGATCTTTAGCCCACCGGTTAATAGTTTCTGGGTTGGGAACAACCACCGCGACAAGCATAGATTTGAAGCTGTCTCCGTAAACCCATATCTGAGAAAACAAGCGTAGATAATTGAGGAGAAACCCTAAAAAGTATTGCTTGCTTGCTTGGCAAGAAATCATGATTGATAGTTGAAAAGCTTACATCTTGGACAACAGAGTTTTGGCCGAAGATGTTTTCCAAATGCTCGAGAGCAACATATTCTCCTTGAGAGAGTTTGATCAGATTCTTCTTACGATCGATGATCTTGAGTACTCCGTTTGGAAGAATCTCACCTATATCTCCTGTTAAAACATCCACCCACATCAAAAACAATTCAGAAACCAGAATCAAAACAATCAAATCTTTGTTTCGGTAAATTCAATATCACCTGTGTGGAACCATCCATCTTTTATGACTTCTTCAGTGAGTTCAGGATTCTTGTAATACCCAGAAAACATGCATTGTCCTCTTATACAGATCTCCCCTGCCGGATTTTCCCCGAGTGGGTCATAGCCCATTTCAGCCACCTCCTCAAGCCGTATCTCGTTGTAAACCGCCGGAATACCGACTGTTCCTAGCATACACATCTCATCCGGGAAACCCAAAGCCGTACCTCCAAGCGTCTCCGTTAGGCCTAGTCCAAACAATCACAGAAACATTGGCTTTCCTTGGCAAACACGAAACAGTGAGAAGAAACCCTAGAATGTAAAGGAGGTTTAAATATTATACCGTAGCCTTGGACGACAAAGCAACAACAAGTAACTCTCAAGAACTCTTCAATCTCAGGGCTCAAAGGTGCTCCTCCAGATACTAGTAACCGGATGCGACCTCCCAATTTGTCTCTTATCTTTAACAGAAAAACAAAACCGCGAAAAGTCGGTTTATGTGATACTTTGAAAAAGCATTATATCAACTGTTTCTAACCTTTCTGAAAGCTATGAAATCAGCCATGGGTGAAGCTTTACTATGAGAGTATCCACGATTCATCCATGCAAGCTTGCTACATCATTAGTTTTTGTTTTGCAAGGTTAAAACTTAAAACAATTAGAGAACAGAGAAGTTAGAAGAAAACAGAGCAATAACGATGAAAAGTTGCTTACTGTTTGTAGAGAGCATTGAAGATGAGTCTCCTTCTTGGGTTAAGTTCTTGCAGAGCCTTTTGAATCCCCTCGTGGATTCTCTCAAACACTCTTGGTACTCCAGCTAGATAAGTCGGTTTCAATTCCTGAATGTCGTCACGTAACACGTTCAAATCCTACACAAAATCAATATATGAAATTCTCTTAGATTCTTTATCCATTTTTCTTCCATAATTTTACCCTAATTTTACATCTTAAGAGGTTAACATACTCCATGGTAATAGCCGACGGAAGCGCCTTTGCGAAAGAAGTATTCCTCATTCATACGGTCAAGAATATGAGCCAACGGCAAGAAGGAGAGATACACATCGTCATGTGTCATCTACTCGTATTTAATCCGCCCAAAGAAAACAGAGGATTAGTCATAAGTAAACAGAGGATTAATCAATAATAATCAGATAATACTCGTTCTCTACGATTTTACTTATAGTTGCTATTATAAATGTGAAAATATCTAAAAAAATTCATACGTCTCAGAAATTAATCTGAATTTTGGTTGAAAAAGTGTCTAGTGTTTCTTTGAAGTAATTATAGGTCACCTTATCTTCGAACTGGTCCATGAAGATATCCATCCCAACAACAAAAGTCGCGACGGCTTGGTGAGTCAAAACCACACCTTTAGGATCACCGCTAGTGCCACTCGTGTACATTATGGTGCATATGTTAAACGCCTTAGGGGGGTTCGTCTCTTCTGGTTTCTCACGTCCCTGGTCAACGATCAAATAGTCAACAAAAAGATATTTATGATATATATCAATGTGGCTGTGCACCTAACTCATTTAATTCTCACATACACACTAGTACCTAATGCCGTCAAGTTGGTTGCCTGTCTTTTTATATACCTCAGAGAATGGTCCGAACATATAAAATAAATTATAAAACCTAAAGGATAAAAAATTATTAGTATTTTAGTAAATAAAAAGTGAGACGAACCATATGTAGAAAATCGATCCAAGAGTATGTTTTGACTCCAATCTCTGAAGCCTTGTGGCTAAGCTCGTCACTCACGTTAGTGAAGGAAACTATAGCTTTTAGCCGTTTAGCACATTTGCAATCTGGCTCAAGAAGCTAAATTTCAATAGCATGAAAAGAAAACAAAAAGTTTATTATTCACATGATGAATATTTTGCATATGTTTTAATTAGTTAAAAAAAAATTTGATAACAATTAAATTGCGACATTAATTTAAAAGATCTTAACTCCTTTAATTTTGGTGTCTTGGACAAACACAAAGTCGATTTCCGCATGCTCTACAATGTAATCGACTGCTCCTGAACCTAAAGAACATCATATGCAAACAATTTTTCAGTTGCGTTTTTGAGTTTGAGTCAAGAAAATGTATATATGTCGGAAAAAAAAAAAGAAAACAAAACTTACCCAATGTATCATATAGAGGTACACAGATTAGAGTGTGAGCTGCACAAGCCTAAATATGTTCACACGAATATATTGTTAAATATAATTAAGAAATTTGGGCAAGATAAATCAGAAAAGTATTTCATAAAAAGATAAAATGAGATGGACCTCCATTGCTATGATCCACTGAGGACAATTAATTCCGTAGATCCCCACTCGACACCCCTACATATATACATATAACATTTTATGACGATGTGAATAACAAATCTTCAGAAACATAAGTTGATCTTGAAAAAAGGGTGTATTAATATATAGAAAGAAGTATTTACAGGTTCAGCTCCGACGGCTCGTAGTGCAGAACCGATCTGCAAAACTTCTTCGTATACTTCCTTGTACGTTTTCCACATATACGGTCCTACCTAAACCGGTCGATACAAATATACGTATTAATCCATAAATCTTTTTCTCCATTTTATTAGTAACAATAATAAAACTTCAAAAAATCACCTTCTCATCAACAATTCGACGCCATCCAAGCATATTGTTGTCAGGGAATTTCTCGACTGATTTACTAAAAAAAAAAGCTCAAAAGAGAGTTTATTACAATAATTATATATACACAAAAGGTGATATATCTTACTTACAAGAAAATAATTTATATACCTGAAAATGTCCCAAGCAGTGGTGATCTCAGAATCAATCGGAGGAAAACCTTTTTCCGACAGGAGATTCCGGTACACCGGACCTACTGACGGCTTTCCGTTTATCCCTTTAACTCCCTCTTCTGCCTTAGCCGCGAAAGACTTCATTCTCTATTTCTCTCTCTCTCTCTCTCTCTCTCTTTTTTTTTTATTTCCTTAAGAGAAAAGTTATTTTCTTTATAAGGAAAAAATTAATAAAGACTTTACCAGCTACTATTTTTTTTTTTATCAAATTTTGAAAACTTTAGATTATAATCTTAATAATATAAGAATGGCATTAACTGTCACCGGTCCGGTCCACCTAACCATACGGATCGAGTGCAAAACCCAAAGTTTTATGCATTTATGATAAAAAAAAAACAACCTAAGATACCAACTACTCCATTTGGATTTGACACCAACTTGGTTTCCATATTTGTGGTTTGATCATGAATTATAAGTATTAATTACAAACGTATACTATTTTCCAAGGATTCAAGGAAGTATAAATCGAGCGTCTAGTATTTTTCACTCATTAATTTCGACTAAAATTATATTTAGTAATACCATAAAGGCATAAACTAATCCACTAGTTAAGAGTCACGCCCTAAACGTGAGAGCATGCATAACCCTGGCTTCACTCTCTTTATCCTTTTTTTCCATCATCTTCTCTATTGGAAATATGAAAACCTCTGAACCAAAAACAATAAATATGAAAGTGATGTATGTGCTGTTGTTGTAACTCTCTCTAACCAATGTAAGTGCATCGAGAGAGGAATATTCATAGCTAGTTAAACACTTCAACTCTTCTTCCATTCTCTTTTCGAAACATAAAATGTTTTTTTTTTGGTACTACAATGAATAACATTCTGTTTCATAGATAAATCAGCTAAAATCAGTGATTAGATCAAATTAATATTATAGTTTATAGAGGTCGTAGTGAATTTCTACATTGAAATACAACAGAAACATCAATATATATATATATAGATATATATCATCCTGATTTCAAATCCTAAAAGGAAACATAAATGAAGATGACATATCATAACTACAAAAAGGAAAACGAAGATTAAGCAACAGACCTTATTTTAGTTTATAGATCAAGGACTGATAGTAGTTTATAGATGATCTTCAGGTCAATGGTTTGAATCCGGCAGGTCGGAATATTAATTTAGAGCTTTGTTATTTAAAGATTTTCTTAGTTTAGGAATCTTTTAGAAATGATCTAAGAGAGAGAGAGAAAGAAGATAAGTTGATGAGGAGCTGAGAAATGGATGTTGGTTTATATAATAATATATGAGTTGGTTGATACAGGCCAGGCCTGTGTCTTTCATTTAAATTTTTTTTAGTCTTCAATATCAAAAGAAAATTTGATCCAACATATAGGTGTTGTTTGCGGAAAGTTGTTTTTTTTTTTAAATATAAATCTTCAACTACTAATTTTCCATTAATTGATGATATCACGTCCTCTATGAGAAAAACACTTATATGATTGAAAGCATATCGTCATGTGGAAATGAATTATTTTAGAATGAAGTAAAAATAGTCCCTCTCTACTTGTTTCCTACTTTGAGAACCAATTTGCACAATCATTTATTATAATTTGTTGCGACTGCCAAATTAATTTTCCAGTTTGCAACTTGCATCCTACTCTCAAAGAATCAAATCAATTTGCAAAATCATTTTTTTTCAGTCTTTTTATTGGTGGAATTGTGACGAAAGCTATTTTTGACATTTTTCCGAAACTAAAACGTTTCGTGATCCATTTCGTAAAGTTGTTTTGTATATACTATTGCAGTTAGCCAGTTACCGTCACGTACGTGGTTACTGGTAAGTAGCAATCCCCAGTCGATTTTTTTGGTTTCTATTATTTCATGATGTAAAATGAAGTTTTAGTATCTTTTTTTTTGTTTGTCTGTAATATTCACTCAAGTTTTCATCATCAGTACTTTTTATTGAATCAACGCACATCTAAGATATCGAATTATACAATTATTAATTGTGTGGACTTAGTAAAAGCAGATCATGATCTCGATTAACATGTCGAACCATTGCGTGGATCTAATCATCACTTTCATAAGACTCAAGGACCTTAAAATTAAAAAAAGACTAATTTAATTTTTATATTTTATAACACTAATTTAATTTTCATATGTTTCCGTCTTCTCTATTTGCAGAATTCAAAGATTGTGGCAATTGATTAAGGATTTCAAACTATATATTTTAACCCTTTATAAAATAAAATAAAATCGTATTATTTTGTAAAAAGTCGTTCATGTTTGAAATTGTTGAGAGATTCTCCATCAAGCAAATACTACTTTTTATACTATTAAACTTTTTGTTTCTCTTCTTCATCCGTACCGTACAAGATATTTATTAATTGATCCATATTTTTCTGATCGGGTCTACATCTTTAATACGATACAGGAAAAGATCAGCAACTTTTCTGATAGCTTTTATTATAGATGTCAATACGCATTAGAAGACGCGAACCAATTCCTATTTATTTACGGATTAAATTTTTATGAAAATCTTATAAGGTTCTCAACGACCAATTCCAATGGATCAACGGCTGCAGTGTGATTTTTCAAAAAAAAATATATAAAGTGATTAATATATTCTAAAAAATTAGTCTTATTTCAAGTAATCTCTTGGAAAAGTTATCGATATTTTGCTTGAAATGATCTGATAAAAACTTAGCAAATCCATTAAATAGAAAGTACAATAATGCTTATTCCAAGTAACCGCCGGTCAAATACAAATGATTAGTTTTCAACTTTTTCTTTAATAGACATCACGAAATCATTTTCAACTTTATGTTTGACAACTTAACTTTTTAATTAATTTCTTGTTCCAACTTCTAACTGTTAAGAAAAGAAAAGAAAAAGTCTTAAGTCCGGCCATTACTTTGAAATCGAAATTGCTCAATAAAAAAATAAAGCCAAGTGAATTTTAATTAAATTCCCATCTCTTTTTGCTCAAGTAGATTTTTCTAAACCTACTACATATGTATACGAGTAGCAAATAATTTAAATGGAAATAGAGTATTGTTCTATATACAGTATGTATGTAAGCTCTCATTTATTTCCAAATCCAAGTAGGTTTATGAGCATTTAGAACAATACCTATAAACGTACAATGTAACATTAAATATTTCGAACCTTCAATACGGACTACCATTAATATGACAAAATACTAGTGTTTCTTTGATAAATACTTTTTTTTTTAAAACATATAAGGGTCGATTATACAATGTTGAAATTAAATTATCGCAGAATATTTGAAAAAAGAAAAGAAAAAACTGTAATGCGTGGACTGATGGACAACGAGACCGTTTGCATTAATATGTGTCACAGACTCAAACAGTTGTAGGGTTGAAACATTAACTAGTTTCAACAAATTGTATCTCTTGTACAATTTGCAACATATTATATTGGAGAACTTACAAAAATCTGTATTACCATAAGATTTATTTTTATTTTTATTCTTCATTAACATAAGATATTATCTCTTTATAAGGAAAAAAAGATATTATGGAGGATAAATAATTTCAGCGACAATTTAATTCGTCATGTAGTAAGTAACCAATAAGAGAAGTCAGAAGAATTTCTCTACAAAAAAAAACTAAAATAAAAAAAGCCAGCTAAGACTGAACCTTCTAAACCATTACGAGTCTTTAGGCTTTTTAATCCTTATATCATCTGCTATCACAATCTATTCACTTACTAATGAAGGTTAGTATAATTTTAATATTTCTTTGGTTTAATAGTAATTTTTCAGCTTAGTTTTCTAATACGTGTGATGATTGTATTGTGCTTAAAATTGAGTTTTGGACCGGTCTTCACGTGTCTTCAATACTTAATAAGAGACTTGAAATCACCAATCAAAGTTTGGTTTTTGAGAGAGTCACAAAATATTAGATAGATTCGTATCATCATAAGGTCTACAAAAGATTAGTTAAACTAAACATCATCATCAACAACAAGGGATTAAGATCTTAGATGAGTCTTTTTTACTTACATCTAAGTTTTCATTTACCAAAATATAGAGCTTAGAGGTTATTCATAGTTTTGTCTTCTTAATTACCATGGAGCAGAAGCAGTTGTCTGAAACTCAAGCCTCAAATCTTCCATCTCTTGATTAATCATTTCTGCATATGATTTCATTCCACTTGTCATTTTGTCTGTAGCTTCCTTCATCTCTTTGGCAACCGCTTGTTGTCTCTTCAGCTCCAGAATTTTGCATTCTAACTCAGCCATTTCTTCTTCATACTTGTGCCCTTCCATCTCTCCAGCTTCAATCTTCTTCTCTAGACATTTTCTTTCCTCTGCTTTCTTTGCTAGCTCATCTTGGAGAGACAATATTTTGTTGATCCGTGACTGAGGGGCTGCAACGTCGAAACCATGCTTCTCTAGGTCCGCAAAAGAACAACTGAGGCTACTTAGTTTGCTTGGGGAAACATCGAGCTGCAGATTTTTTACTTCCTCTAATAACCCATAGAAAGTCACCATCATACCGACCGCTGTCCATTCGCGGAGTTCTTCTTTCGCGTCGAACAACGGACTGAAATGTGGACTCTGTGGTACTATTTTGCATACCTCTTGTGTCTCATGCATCTTCCAAAACGGTGACTTTTTTGCAAAAGGTAAAATCGTTAGTGTATCCTTCCCTTGTGTTTCCTCAACATCGGTGGCAACAGCAGCATCATTCACCACAATCGGGCTATGATCAAAGGATGGCTCTGGATAGATCAACACAAAACAAAAAAACAAACTGCTTTAGCGTATACTATCTAAAAATTTTCAAAGAGATAAATCTAAGCTTAAGTATATTGAAAAGATTTTCGAACCAGTAGGTAAATTTATCCAAGCAGCTAGAGGCTGATCATCGACATCAACATCGTTGCAGATACTGCTTGTATCATTGATCTCGGCTGTTTGACCATTGCAACTCTCATCTACAAATTATAACCAATTATATGATTAAAATTTGGCACCAAACAAAGATATCACAACTAATATGGCTAGATAGATGCTGGCTAAGACATACCAGTCTCCTTAAGGTCTGAGTTGTGTTCTTTTTCTCTTTTTCTTTTTCTACCCTTCTCTTCGCTATTCTTCTCCTCAAGTATCTATATAAAGATAATAAACCATCATTTTCATGAATAACAATCATGAACGCCACCATCTAGTGAAAGAGAGAATGATATTTTTCAAACGAACTAACTTTACCTTCTGTTGAGTTGAGTTTTCTAAGCCATTTTCATTTCTCATTGGCTCAAGTGTCTTCTTGGGGGATGTCTTTCTTTGAGTATCAGCCTCTGTTTGTTTCAACGGTGTTGCAGTTCTGACCCGGGAAGGAGTTACAGGTTTAACAGAGGCTGAAAACATTGACCTTATAGATCAGTTTCATGATGCAGAAAATAAACTCAAAGAACTAAACAAGATCACAATTACCTATTGGTTTCTCTTGCGGTGCTATGACCAGAGGAGTATTATCATTAATAACATCATTAGCCCTCTTACTTCTCAATTCTCGAGTGGCCTATTTGCAGGAAACAAAATTTGTTAATTCAAAGACATGACAAAAGCAAACGAAATTAGTGAATGCCTAACTCACAGCTCCAGTTTCAGCTTTTGTGAGTGTCTCAGCATTTTCCTCAAGATTCAGTGATCTTCTGGCATATTTTGTGGTCCTTTTAGGAGTCATTAACTTAGCACCAGAACAAGAACCAGAGCAAGAGCGCATTGGCTTCGTTTTTATGACGTTGGAAGGAGTTTCTGTAACAGGAGTTTGCTGAAAAATGGACAGAACACACAATAGCTTCAATTCATACCACTAAATCAAAAAACTGACAGAAAATTGATTGAAATTATTGAATATGATACCTTTCGTCCGTCATGCCAAACTCCATCTTCCCACACCTTACAAGGCCTAAGATCCGAGTGTTTAAACACTGATTCCTCCTTTGTAACCACTAAACTAACCATGTAACAGTTCTGATCAAGAACTCCCCTTACCAACCCTTGACGCCATACCGAACCATGAAACAACTCCACACGATCCAACAATTCGTACTTTTCAACTGGAAAAGGAGGCGGCGTGGGTCTAACACGACACGAATCAATGGTAGAGTTTGTTCTTGCCTCATCACCATTAAAGCTCAAGTGTTTATTACAGTCCTTCACGATGAATTTCTTCTCACCATCCACTTCAATCTCTTTAATTATCATAGCAGGGAACCACGCAACTTCCGCTTTATCTATGACAGTACTCACTTCCGCCATTGTCCCGGAGCTAAACATGGACTTGTCCAATTCCTTCAAGAACAACAAACAGAAAAATCAAAGTCTAGACTAAGATTCAAAGTCAAAGCTCAAACCTTTAACCATTTTAATCAAAACATAGCATGCAACAAAACTGAGACATCTCCAAGCATGAAAAAGACCGGATTTAATAAAGGAGCACAACATGCAACAGATCAAAACAGATAAAAATCTCAACTTTATGCAAGAACGCAACAAAATTGAGAAAAGACCAAGTTGGATTACATCAACCTCGTACCTGAATATCTGGTCGGTCCCATTTCCAACCGGTCCAGCGCAAATGAGCTCTCAATTGGTTTCTGTGGAACTCAATAATGTCAGGTGGAGAATCATAGTAAACCCAAAACATGCCATTCTCCAATTTCTTAATAATCACACCAGTCCACCAACCGTCTTTGTGGTCAGCATCAACCACCGATCCTTCCTCCAAGGCGATACCTTTGTATTCATTCTCCGGCGGAACCGGTCGGATAAACCTCGGTTCAATGTTCTCGACAAGAGGAGACAAACCGTCGTCGTTTAACAGAGTCAAGTAACGAACACGGAGCTTTTTGCGACCTGATTTTGTTGGATTTTCTTGGAGAATCCCTCTGAACCATGCATCAGCAAAACCTTCTTCTACCGAAGACACTTCTACTTCAGAATCTTTCTTCATCTTCTCCTCCATCTCCGTAAATTACCAATGTCGTTACTCTGATTAATAAAAAAAAAAAAAAAACTAAAAACAAAGAGAGGAAAAAGCCCGCCTTTTTCTTCTTCCGCAGAAAACCCAAAAACTGAGAAACCCAAACTCTGCTTCTGGAAATGGATTAGCTTTACAAAGGAAGCAGAGAAGACGTCTGACGTCATATCGCCTTAATTATGACTTAAAATTAATTATTTTTTCATTTTTTTTTGGCGCGATCATTACAAAATAAAAAAGAAATATATTCTATTGGGCCTAAATTAACGAGCCCGACGATGAATGGCCTAGTCTTTCTTGTAATTGTCGTTATCTGCTCTCAGATATTAGTAACAAAGGTTTAATGTGTTAATTAAATAAATAAACACATTTGGTTATCGTTTAATAATGCGGTAACAAAGGTTTTAATTTAGTGATTCACTAGCTTCATTTTTCGACATGATGATCGTACTGTAAATGAGTTGAAGAACCGGTGTAAAGACTCAAAAAACCACCAATGAAAAGGTTCAACAACTGAAAACAGTGCAGTGTTTGGAATCACCCGGAAATGGTATATACACACACATTAAAATTGCTGAGTCCGAGTAGAGAGATTTTAGAGATCAGAGGCTTTCAACTTTCTCGGACGCTTATGAGCTGGTGAAGGAGTATCTGCTTGTCTTCCAGGACCCTGTAGGATTCATAAACATATTGTAATTAAGATTCAAGTTAAACATATATGAAGGATTTTCAGATAAATTGATACGAAAAATGAAGAGCAGACTCTGATTTGCACCACCTTGCGTTTTTGGTCCTTCTTGATTGGTCTTTCAGCTGAAACAAACACACGAAATGAACTTAGAGTTAGAGATGGTTAAGCAGTGCATACAATGCTGAAACCAACAAGATAAGCAAATGTACCTCCAAAACTGAATGGGTCCGATGCGAAAACACGATCCTGATCAAAAATATATAGAATTAGAGAGATCAATAGGAAGATGAAACTGAAGTGAGAACCAATAAACAAAGTTTGTTGCTCACTTTTGGAGTGTCTGGCATTGCAGCATATGACCCTTCACGATGTGATGAACCTTCTGATTCCTTATATTGCAGCTGAAATTACAAGCAGACCATGTTTGGCAAGAAGTTAGATAAACAAATAGCTGTATATTTTGTGAATCTATGTGAGAGACTTGTATCGTATGGTTTACCTGCTTCTGAAGATTCAGTAGTGTTAATATTTCTTTTCGTAACTCAAGATGCTCATCACATACAGTTTTTGTAGGAACCTTTGGCTTTAAATTAACCTGTAAACAGAAAACTCTATATACTCATTTAGCAAATCTTAAGAGTAGCTACAATCAAATAAACTGATAAGAACCTACTAGCCTCTACCCGAACCAAAATCCCCACAAATTAGTAATAGAACACATTCAAAGCTAGCTTCAGTACGGGTTCCCTTTATAACATTAGTTAAGTCTCATTCATCAATCAATGGGGGAAAGATAAGCAAAATGATTTAGACAGATAGAAAGAGTTAAACAGAACAAGAAGCAAAGACAAACCCCGAGATCTTGCAGAGTCTGCTCAACACGCTTGATCGTTCGAAGACCAACAGCAGAGCTTGCAGCTTGGACCATTTGTTCAAGTCCATAGGTTCTCAAGTATACATGGAGCTGAAAATTTGACAGATTCACCAGAAAGAATCATATAAACTGGATAGCCAAGTAGAAAATGGAAAGAGAAGAAGAGAGGGACACTTCACTCACCATGCGGAGAGAAGCAAGGGTAGAGGCATAATCTGCCATAGTTAGTGTTGATGGAGCCACGGCAGTAGCAGGAAGTTGAGAATTGGATGTTGGAGATACACTACGCCCTGGAACTACCCCATCAGCTTTATCAAGACCGGCGTTCTCATTTGCAGACACATCAGGTTCTTCTGCACGCTGGACAGCCAGAAACAAGATAATAAAGATAGAGTTCAGATATGCGTCTAAGGTTTTCAATCATGGTAAGCAAATTTCATCCATTGTTCTTTAGTTAGTACGAGTGAGTATATATTTATTTTAAGACAACCCTTACACGTGCTGCCAATCGCATCTCTGTGATTCTTTTAGCCTCAGCAAGTATCTGCAGTTGTGGGAGAAGGGTAGATAAGAGAAAGCAAAGAACTAATCATATTTATTTGGCTGCAAGTACATTCAAAATTAAATAGAAAATAACCTCAGCATCTTTCTTCTCCTGATGTCTACTCTGGGACAGGACCATGGACAATGCCCGCTTGCGCTCTCTATCGCGTGTAATATCATAAGGTTCCTGTTTATGCCAATACATCGGAAAAAAAAAGCGTTTAGAGAGATGTTTTCTCCAGATAACATGACAAGGAGAGATTGCTACAATAAACTACATATATATGAACATAACAGTTCTTAGCTTGCTTTATTATCAAAAAAAAAAAAACAGTTCTTAGCTTGCTATGAAGAGATATAAGTGGAATTTGACCTTCATGAGAGGATGGTTTGCAACATCTGCTGGAGACTGAGCTCTAGCACGCAGCAGGGCCCGGTTTACTACAAAAGAAAGTACGTAAGAATATTCTCAGTCCATGTATTTTTTAATGAACCCTGGTGCAACATGAAATAAAAACAGAGAGATCAAATATGAAATAAAATGAAAGGACAAGGTATAAGTGAACGGATAATGGTCCGAAAACAGAGAAGGACCAACATACCACTGTAGTAACGATCCTTCAATTCCTCCACAGTCCGTGATACCGGAAATCGATCAGCTATTACAACAAAGCGGAGATCAAAATTTTGACAGAATTCAAACAACTGATCTGTCTCTTCCTTGGTCCACACCTGCAAGTTGGAGGACAATCGACATTATCCAAAACAAGCAAGTACATAAGCTATGCAGAACATGTCTTCACTTCATACATAATAGACTGAAACAGAAAAGCAAACACTTACAGGATCCGTTAAATGATTCTCATACTCCTCGTCTGTGTATTTCAAAATATCAACTGACTGCATTCACGCAAAGATACAAACAATCAAATGGGAATTACAAAAACAAGTCAGAACAAAAAAAAAAAGCAGAAACGGAGAGAGGACAGCAAAAGTTACTCAATAACACAAAAAAAAAAGACAATCATGAAGGCAATATAATACCTTGTTATATTTGGCAAAGGAATAGTCACCTGTTGGTGGAACATCATTAACCACTCTAACCTGTGAAGATATAAGAAAACACCAAATGCATACCACATAAGAAAGAACGAAATGCTAAAGCGTTTCTAGAATGGCGTTGCACACAGATAAGGAACTTACCCAATGGTAAAGCTGCAAATCATCTTTCCTAGCAGAATTTGTGAAGGAAAGCCATTTCCAAGCAACCTGATATACTAAAGACATGTTTCTTAGCATACTAACACTCAGGAGAATCATACTAGTACACAAGAATCGTACTAAAAACTCAAAACAAGACAGCAGCAACAGACCTTCTCATCTGCAGGAGGACGTCGCTTCAAATCAATTGAAGGCATAAGAGGTGCAACGCCGCCGGTAAGCGCATAAACCTGCAATGAAAATTAAAAGTCATTCGAAAGCTAACAAAAAAATCCAATCGATTCCAAAGGATTGGTTCGATTCGTTAGAGCTAACCTCGCGAGAAATGCCATCGGGTTTTCGATGGGACTCTTTCTGGGGTCGAGATTTCTTCTCCTGAGTTAAAGACAGTGGAGTCTTCGGCAACCCGAGAATATCTTTCGCGTCCGTACCACCCATTGTTAATTAGGGTTCCGAATTTACTATCATTCGATGCAGGAGCAACAACACCTTCGATTCGATCAGGATCTGCTTCGATTCAGGAGTTAGGGTTTCAAAGATTGCGAATTGGGGATTTTTTTTTTGAGCGCCAAAGAATAATTCTTCAACCTTTGGGATCGCTTAGCAGGTTGTGTTTAACTACAAGTGTTATTAAAACGACACCGTTTCGTTTTTTTTTGACAATCAAACGACACCGTTTCTTATGTTATCATATTCATCCTCAAAAAAAATCCTATAGACCAGTTTTTTTTTTTAGAACAGTTTTCATAGCCTTTTTTTTTTTTTTTTTTTGGTCAAACAGTTTTCATAGCCTTTTAAACCAACGAAGTAAAGTAACAAGAGCCAGTTTCCTAAATTCATTTGTTGATAGAGTTTTTGTCCTAAATTACAATACTAATAAGTAATAATCCTAAGTTATAGAGAAACAGTAGTACCCAAAATTATCGAAAGGAATGTATACTAATGTAGTATTATATAAACAAAAAACATAATTTTCAAAAGAAACACTAAATATTTGTTTACATACAGGTTCACTGACCAAAATGCTAAAGTTACCCAAAAAAAGAGAAAAATTAAATCTAGAAGGTTGTCCAACAATCGTTGACCGAGAAAAAGATTAGATCAGACTATTTTCTAAAAGCTCCTTTTTTAAAAAATTCTCTCCTCTCCTTTCATTGTTTCTTGCTGAAGATGAACTATTTGTTGTCTCTTCGACGTCAAAACCATGAGTCATAAGAGACCATAATACCCTTGATTCGCTTCGGGTGCAGACTCCATATTGTTGGCAATCGGTCAAGGGCAATTTAGTTTTTTCACTATTAATACTTACCAAAACTAGATATCCTCTCGATTATGGCTTCCTCCTTGTGCTGTCTTGTTTCAACTTTCTACATTCGACAATGGTTGTTAAGACTATTACACACACTGACACAAGCTCACACACAAACGCACACATTATATATACTTATGTTTGTGTGTGTCTTAAGTGTTGAAAGTGATTAAACAAATTAAAGCCAACTAAAGCATCCTACGACGTCAGAGACACATGGCGTCGATAGTGATGCTCCTTAGAGCACTGATGAGTTGCCGTCTTACGCTTAAAGACGAGCCGGATACAGCGGATTCTTCTTCGTCGGCGGTGAAAATTTACAGAAATATCGTCGGAAACGAAAACATGACGAGGAAGAGTATTTCAGTGGTTGATACATCGCATCGTGGCGATAATCACGAGTTTATCATCGAAACTACGTGTGGGAGTAACGATATGGACGAAGGGTTTTACTGGATTATCGTCAGGAACCACTTGTTGATGTGAATTTATATAGTGTAAGTATAAATAATGTAAGTCCTTGTATGTTTTGTCGTAATTTATTTCCTGTTTTAATCGTTAGTGATTTCTGTCGTAAATAAAACGGAGTAACGGACCAAACCAAATAAGAACTTTTTTTGTTTTAAAACGTTAAATCCAATAATTCACATATGTCATATACGATATATCACAAATCAGTGAATCACAACATCCTCCCGTGATGATCAAATCTTAATTTAATCGGGGGATGTATAAAACAAGAGAAAAAGAAAAAGAAAAACATAATAATTAAGTGAAGATTCGTATACCAAGGCCGTATCTAAAATGGCATCACGCACGAATGAATATTACTACACCAAACGTGACGCAATTGAATTCCTCGTTACGTATCGTAATCGTATATTTCCTTAATTATACGAATACGATGTCGTTTCAGGGCAGAACTGGTCCTGCAAGAACCAAAAACTCTCCTCATCGGTCCATATGTTGTCCCCACCAACACAGCCCCAATCGTTGAACTCTCCAAAACCCGTTTGACCCGCCGGGTCATAACCCGACCCGTTCACCACCCCACCTTGAACGTCCGATAACGTCTCAGCCGGCGAATTCGAAGACGTTGCGGATAATTCCGATGCCGGTACAAATTGCTGGTTGAATTGAACGAAACCCGGTTCGAGCGGAATCGGTTCTCTAATAGGTTGACCTGGGTCGGTGGTGACCATTGACTCCACTGGATTACACGTGGTGGGTGATGATTGGGCATTAATTCTTTCCACTAATCTCGGCATCCAAACATTTCTCATTGTCTCCTTGAAAAGATTACTATTAACATCGCATCTTAAGTGTTTAGCTTGTTTTTGGACTCGGGTTCTCCAATAATTCTTTATTTCATTATCCGTTCTTCCCGGTAAATACTGTGCAATCTTCGACCACCTTATATATTCAATTGAAGAAAAGAACATATATTAATAACATACTTAACTAGTAAACATATATATATATCGCAAAAGATTTACATTTGGGATATAAACTGTGTACCTATTGCCCCAAAGAGAATGGAGTTTGAGGATCATAAATTGTTCTTCGAGAGTGATGTTGCCTCTTCTAACATCTGGACGTAAGTAATTAAGCCATCTTAATCTGCAACTCTTACCAGTTCTCTTTAGCCCTGCACATATATGAGTACATATATATAAGTTTATATATATATAGAGAGAGAGAGAGGCCTTCGTGTATATGTTTATTTAGAGATTGATGTTCTGATGATACCAGAGGAACGAGCGATGTGGTTCCAACGAGCATCACCATGGATAGACACGAAGTTGACTAGGATTGCATCTTCATCCTCGGTCCATGGACCTTTCCGTACATCAGAATCTTCTTCATGAGTTGGAGAGTTTGAGTTTCGCTCGTAATCTTCCATTTCTTTTAAAGAAACGTTAATGAGAAAAAGGAAGAGAGAGAGAGAGATAGAGATGAGATTGTGTGAATGGTTTTGTGGATTAGATTTGAAGTGATTAAGCAATGTGTGATTTTATAAATATATATAGCGAAGGAACATAAGAATAAAATAATTTTAAAAGTATAGAAAGGATATTTGAAAATGAGTAGAATGTTGAAGAGTGACTGCAACACGGCATAAGTGTGATATTCAATTATTTTTTATTCTGTTTCTAAAGTGGAATTTTGCAACTATATAGTAAATTATTCTAAAATAATTAACTCTCCATTTGGTCAATTGTTTGTGTAATTAAAAATACTAAGGTTTGACCCTTTGACTAGTTCAGATGTATAGTAAACACGCACTCTTGCTTTATCTTTCTTTGGTAAGAGAGTTCTACTTCATAAAGTTTCTATATTTATTACCACACAGTATCGCAGACGTAAGTAATTGTATATCTTTAGTCTTGTTCAAAATGACTCTGGTTACTGGTTAGGGATTACTATGGGCGAAATTAATGATTTATTAATCACTTATTGTTGTGCAATCACGATTTAATTTTCATTGTTTTCTTGAAATTAGTTAACATTAAGAAATTAAACTACTTGATAAGAATGTATAATAATAATAATAATTAATTACTACTTCAGTATTTCACAAAAAAAGTTATTTTGACATGTTTCACATATATTAAGAAAATTATGTAAATTTTTACTATATATTTTATAAATACACTAATTTAAAAAAAAAAAAAAACTAAAATAAATAAATAAATGGAGAATTAATATTAAAAACTGCACTGAAAATACAATTATACTAAACAAAACTAGTTTTCAAGAGATTTCCAAATTTGAATGTAGCTAAATAACATAGGACTATTGACATTTATTGCAAAGTCAAATGAGAAATGGAGTTAGGCGAGTTTAGGGACTTTGCTTTTGAAATTTTAGCACATTTTGTTTTCGATTGAAGAGTAGTCAAAGAGACGTCTTTCCTCTGTCTATCACTATGACTTCTATGCATATATTAACAGAAATATATGAGACTTTTATGAGTTCTTTTCGACAAAATTTTATCGCACGTTGGAATTATTAATTATGAAACAGTAATATCAAACTTAGTAAAAACAATAATATACTTTCAATAGTTGCCGGTAAAGAAAACACACGCAAAATATATACCTTTTTTTTTAATGAGAATTCTACGAAGTAAAGAGAGACCGTAGTATTAGTATACTTTCAATAATGTACTCATCGTTTCAGTATTACTTCTTCGATTATTAATACACATTCTGAAATTCGAGTGCCTATAATATAAGTATATGTTTTACATTTTGTTAATGCATCATTACTTGTAAGTAAAGTTCTACGACATTTTATCAAAATGAATAACAAGAAAATATTGAAATCTATATAGGATTATACATTGGGTGGCGAAAAAAAAAAGGATTATACATTGGGTTAAAAAATTTACATACTAACAAAAAAGGATTAGCATATACTATCTGATGCGTACATGTCAGAGCGATCCACTCTGTCTAAAAAGGAAGGTCGAAAACATATATAAAAACCTATATATTAAAGTAAAAGAGTTTAAGTAATGCAAGCAAACACGAGATTTTTGTTACACAAAGACACTTAAATAGTAGCCTCCATAGTTTTAGGGGAAAGCAACACTCCTGATTAAGTGTATGTACCTGAGAACCGAATCAGATCTCGATGTCTTTACGAGACACTTGTCTGCTTCTAACTTTCAACTGTGGACAAATAGACACGCCAGTGATGACGTGTCAATTTGATTCGAATATAGGTTAGATTTTGGGTTGTACCAGTATCTTAGACTTTTAGTGAAGAAAACAAATGTTTTTTTGTAACACCCGATTCAGTGAATTGTTACATCGATTGGATATGTGATATAGAGACGACAGCCCAAATAGCAAATGTCAAGAAAAATAACCTTTTTTGTTGACATGAAATAAGACCGGTCTTTTGTGTCAATTATATTGATTTATTAGTTGAAAGAATATTTCACAGTTTTTTTTTCACCTACTAAATTGCATATATACGGAAAAAAACAAACTTAAATCCTGTTTGATGAGACCCATAAAAAACAGTTTGACGAGAGCAGAAAATACCAGGTCTGATGCCAAAACATGTTAAGATTTAACCACTAAACAAATTCTTTGACAGGTTATTTGATTAAACTATAACTTCGACACGTTAAAACTTTGAAAAGACGAAATAAGTATTACCTCAAAAGACTGCAATCTAATGGATAGTATAATTTGGTTCAATAAACTAAACTAGTATAAAACTTTAACAAAAAAGAAAAAGAAAAAAAAAAACTAAACTTAAATACTTAATATACAGAAAGGAATGCATAGAAAAAGAAAAAGACGAAAAATCAACATAAAAAGACGTTTACGATCTATCAAAATCAGAAGAACACCAAAAGTAGAACCCACAATCTCATCTTTTTAACTTACACGCTCAAAATTCTGTCATATTCATATGCAAATTAAAGGCTCTTTATTTTTTGTCATCTGGTTATGTCTAATTCCGATTTGATGCGACATAACACATAAGCCTCCAACAAAAAATCTTTATAAGGTCAATATATCCCAAATCTAAGTAAACAATCTAAATCAAATATTATAGGGCATTAATAGATAAGACTCTCTAAAAAGGAAGATGGCTAATGAATAGTATTAATTAATCTTGTATTTATATCCCTTATTGACAGATCCGTTTTTAGGTCATGAGGTCGTGTTAAATCGCCTTCAGCAAATGGAAATTATTTTTCTAGATTCTCTTTATTTTTATGTTTTATTAACACATTCATTTTTATTCATAACTTTGATCGTAAATTGCATATGATCATGAGATAACATACTCGTAATACATCGAGGAGAGTACTAAATATATATAAGATTAGAAATTTTCGATCTCGTGAACCTCATAAACCTGAACTTGTTATAAATGTTTTGTTGTGCATGGCGTTAAAAGGATGACGTATATATGATGACGCAGAGGAGATTCCTCTAAGAGAGTTCGAACTTTAAACTTTAATAAAACAAAGCATGTGGTACACAACTCGAAATGAGACCATAGGACGTCCATGTTTTAGCATCTATCATTTTTTTCCGTCAACGCACCTATATAGACGTATACATATAATTAAATGTATGGTTTAATAATTTGGGGATCCATTTTCTGGTTGAGGTTCAATGTATCAAATAGTCTTGATAAAGCATGATATATTCCCTCTAAAGAAGCATCACATAATCAAACTTCAAATTCAAAAGAACTCCACATCAATATTTTTCTTTTGATTAATGGTTAGAAAGTACTGACTCAGTCAATTCAGAATCTTGAATCTAATAAACAAATATTGAGTTCGAACTTCCAGTTGTTACATTGTATACATTTTGGTGTGATGATAAAGCAATGCATTTCCAGCCTTTTAAATTTATGCATAAAATTAAATAATAAGAAGTGTCCAACTAAAGATCAAATCATTTAATTGTATTTAACATTTTTGACACAAAATAATTTTATCTTGCAAGAAATTTTATTTTATATATACTGGAAAAGTAGTTGAGAAAACAGAATAGTTATGTTAAAATTTTTATGTATGGCCATGAGATTAGTTCTATAAGGATGTGTATAAAATAAGTTAGAAAATGCTCCAAGAAAAGAGAGAAATAAAAGTTTTTGTAAGAAGTCTACAGTTGACAATGTGAAAAGATTAGTAAAAGTCTACCACTAACCGTTAAAAATGAAATTTAAATTTCGGAAGTAAATGTAATGCCTGTTGCCTAAACTCGGACACTATGTGGTTGACTTTGATTGGTCGGAATATGATTTCCGAAAAGCAACAATTTCAAAGCTTTGTGAAGAAAAATTAAACTATAGAAAGGAAAAAAAATACATCGACAATAATGGAAACATATGAAATTTATTAAGGAACCAAAATCAAAGATGACCGGCGATGATTAAGGTAACAAAAGTCAAAGCTCAACACAACCGACACTCTTGGCAGGAAATTCGAAGACATGGTAAGAGTCCTACTTTCATTATTATTCTCTTTTCTTTGTCAAATTTTGCGACACAAAACACGTTTAGAGCCAATGTCAACATCAGGATTTAATTAACAGTATCACAAAGTATGAGGTTTAAGCCTTTCTAGAACACACTAAACGCCGATTGTATAGTTGAAGAGAAGCGAGAGGTAAGTGTTTGTGTAGCAAATGCTTGAATCTGCTTCTTGGCTCATCACATTTCCATCTAAGACCATGTGCAATGGTAAATGAGTGTCCCGTCCCTTATTTAAAAAAAAAAATCAAGTAACCAATCGCGGGCCGCCACGTATCAGTGGGGCCCGCGAATAGTGAAGGACGAGAAAGAGGGACGTCCCAAATAAAGAAACGTCGCATGGTTTTGGAGCAAAGGTCGCATGGTTTTGGAGTGGGACCCAGCGTGGGACTTTGTCAAGGAACGTTGCTGCAAGTGCTCTAAATCAATCCTCTCAGCAAATCACAGAGCAATAACATCTAAACTTAATTTGTTCACACTGAGCCTTGAAACAAAAAAAAATACGGATAATAAAAGAAGTAAACGCATTGGTTAATTTTTTTTTTTTTTTTGCTCTTAAAGTAGGAAGCTAAATAGAAGGCAGCAGCCAAAGGCAAGCAGTAGCAGTACATCAGAGTTGTTACAAAAAGGATAAATAAAAAACAGAATTTAAAGGATAAAATCATAGTTATTCTTAACTTACCAAGGAGTCTCCACACCCATGACCCCATATCTCTTATTTGGCCGTCTCCTTGTCTTCAAAGCTGCTTTTGCACCTCACCAGACTCTTGTTCAGCTTTGGTTCTTTGCTAGAACGTTCTCTTATCTCTCTTTGTTTCTCGTACAAAAAATTCAGCCTATCTTGTTTCACAGTGGATTTTCTTGCCATCTCCTTTGTCTTGAAAGAAGGCTTCTTGTTCAGTCCAGCTTTGGCTTTTTTGTTGGACGATTCACCTCTCATCTCTTTCTTCAACATATTTGGTAGCCCATTTTGGAGAGATAACAGCTCGTTGATCCGTGATAGAGGCGCTCTAACGTCGAATCCCTGCTCCTCTAGCATGACAAATGTCTCTTTGTAGACATCTAGTTTGCTTCTTGGAGTTTCCTCACCCATATCATCTACTGTCTTTACACATTTGATAAAAGCTCCAGTCAGACCGGCTGCAATCCCTTCACGAAAAAGTTCACACGAGTAAGCCAATGATGGGAAGTGCGGACGTTGTGGTGTTCTTTTGTAGACCTCATCAGACTCATACTCTTTCCACGAAGGTAACGTCTTCGTAAAAGGTAAAACATTATCCTCAGCTGATCCTCTAGGAGCTGAACATCAACACAAAACAATGAGAATTTCTAAGGTGTATCTAGTGGTAGTCGTATCAATGCAAGCCTCATCTTATGAATAAGATTTTGCCCAAGGAAACAACAGTTATGACAGCTAATAATATGACTCCAATCTAATATGAGAGAGTTTAAGACATACCTGCAGTCTTGTTGAGATCTGGGCGGTGCTCTTGTTCTACTCTTCTCCTCTTACCACGGCCACTGGTCTCTGTCTCAAGCATCTGTGCATGAAAACACAAATTAAGGAGAGACATCTAAAAAAGACCAAAGTACAATCATGAGGATTACGTTACCTTCTCATCAGTTGGCTCATCGTCATCTTCATCATCATCATCATCATCATCATCATCATCATCATCATCATCATCATCGTCGTCGTCATCATCATCAGCCTTCTCAACATCATCATCTACTATAAGCAAGCCCCTCTCCTTCATTAGCGCAAGTGTCCTCAATGGCACAACTTCCCAAGTGATTCTATAAGGTTTGCCCTCTGTTGGACCAGGTGAAGAAACACGCTACGTTAGAGATCGATTCAAGGATTATAAAAGAGTCCACAGGCAGAGTTAAGTTATGACTCTCAAGAATTACCTTTTATTGCAAGATTAATCTCATCATATCTGCATGTTTCAGCTAATGACCGTTCCGTTTTCTGCAAATCATCAAACAAAGGAGGACTTGAAGAATCACACATAACTTTAGAGTGTTCAAACATATATATGTCAACGATAGAGATCAACCTTATGAGAATCAAGTGTACCTAAAGTTATAGAGGTCGGGAAAAGAGAGTGCAAATCACATCTAGAGATAAAAATCGAAGAAATAACTTTACCTTCTCTTGAGTTGTTGAATCGTTGTTTCCCAAGTCGGAGCCTACTTCAATTTCACTTTTATCCTTCTCCATAGTCGACATAAACCCTAAAATTGAAAGACACACAAGTTGTCTTCTTCCGAAACCTAAACGTGGGAGTTAAAACGAAAACCCGAGGCCGACAACAACAAAAGGAAAAAAAAAAAAAAAACCGGAAGCCTTTTAAAGTAAATAATTTGGAAACATATGATTTTTTTTTTTTTTGGTATTTTCTTAACTTAATTAAAAAAACATAAAGAATGTGAATGTTGTTGGTTCTAGTTCTTTTTTTCTCTACCTAGAAGCCTATTATATAGTAAGGTAGTTTTCATCCTTCTTAAACGAGATTGTGTTTGATCGAGTTGTTAAAAAATGAGAATAACTAGCTATGACGATATTCTAACATTACCGTCTAAAATTTATCTCCTAATATTCAAAACACTCCAGCTAGCGAGTTTTGGTGTTTACATGTTATATTCCCACAATTTCATCAAAATTCATTTTATAAGTAATTATTTTAATGCTTGGTCATTTTAAGTCGTGGAGTGAATTTTAAAGACAATATCGCCAATCTAAGACATATCCTAGAGTGAACTTATGGCTACCAATCGCACTTTTGATATGACTTACATGGGCAGAACTAGGTGGAAAGGGGCCTATATATAGATTTTATAAGTTCTCAAAATTTCTTTATATTTTGAGCGTGTTACATCGCCTTCAGCAAATTGAAATTATTTTTCTAGATTCTCTTTATTTTTATGTTTTATTAACACATTCATTTTTATTCATAACTTTGATCGTAAATTACGGTTACAGAGTCCCGATGATGATCGGTTTCTCTGGGCTTTCTTAGGCCCAAATCGAGAGAAAGATAATTAAACACTTTCTAAAAAATGTACCTAAATAAGTTCTTTGTAGATATAGTTGGACAAATTAAGAAAATTCAAAGAAAGTTAAAAAGGACTTGTGGAAAATGTGGCGCGAGACATTTCTACCGACATCTGAGAAGAAGTGACTGTATATCCTGATGGAGCCCGCGAATGTTCACTACGCACCATGGAATTAGTTCATATGGCCCATTAAGAGATTAATGGGCCCAAATCAGATGGCGCGTGTATCTTACGGCTCTTCTTCACCCAGGTAAATTGCTAATGCGGTGTCTATATTGTCAAATCTGTCGTTCTCAATGAGAAATCTCCATTTTTCACGTGATTAATTTTCTTGTTTATTATTATTTGTTTTTCTTTAAAGTCTTTACTCTGATCTTAGAAACTGCAATTTTATTCTGATTCAATCTTCTTTACAAATTAGGGAAACTGAGAGAGGTTGAAATTATTAGTGCCTCATCAGCAGCATGGAAAGTAACAAGAATTGAAATATTTTACTTTTTTAAGTGTTTCTCTTTAGTTGTTGTGAAAAATGAGATCTTTGTAGATAGAGGTATGTACAGTGTTTTCCACGGTATGGTTCTAGTATCTTGTAATAAGAAATTAGCAAATGATTTACTTTTGACTAGGAATATGAAACTTTTCTTTTTTTTTTGCTAAATATGTTAATATCATAATAATGAAAATTAGGCTTTACAAAAGAGTAGAACCTACGAAAGAGTAGTCGAGGCAAAAAGAATAAAAACAAGGCTACAATAGAATTAGGAAAGAATTGGGATGCTTATCGAATCCAAAGGAGCATTAGCCTTTGCCAACGCTTGCGATGTCGTCTAGGAGAGATTATATTGCGGAGCTCACGATCCACCATTTTGAAGATAGCAAGGGGAGACAAACGAACAGAGTTATGCAACACATTATTTCGTTGTTGCCAAATGTTATAGATCACTGCTTGAGCCGCTACTTTCCGAAAACTTATCTTATCATATATTATATAATATATACACAAGATTACTATCTTAATTCAGTAATCAGTATACACTTCTAACTTCTCAATAAACAATTTTTTCTTTTTCATTTGTAACAATTAATGTTTTCACGTATATTATAACACACAAAAAAAAAAGATTAACATACCAAAAAGAGGACTAGGGAAGTGTACGATGCACCTCGTAGCAGGGAATAACATGTTCTAATTTCCCACAAAACACCGTAGCTGCTTCTAGCGTTTTCTCCGTATAACCGTTTGGTTTAAATTTCCCCGTTACGGTCCCACTTTCCAGAACTTTCACGGTTTCACCAAACGCCAATCACCACCGTCTGTTCTCCTACTTACACGTGTACGTTCCAGATTTCACGATCGTAACCCATCCAAGCGCCTATATTAACCCCGTTTTGCCCGCTACCTTAAGTCCTCATCAGCAAACACAACTAGATAAACTCTTCTTCTCTCATCTAAATCCTCTCAGCAAATCACGTGCTAATCACATGGCTCCGGGGCTTACTCCAACCGCCGATGCTGAATCCACCGTGACGATAACAAAACCGTTACTACCATCAGTCCAAGATAGCGATCGAGCTTACGTCACGTTTCTTGCCGGAAACGGTGATTACGTGAAAGGAGTCGTTGGTTTAGCCAAAGGTTTAAGGAAAGTCAAATCGGCTTATCCACTCGTTGTGGCGATATTACCGGACGTGCCGGAGGAGCACCGCCGTATACTTGTAGAACAAGGATGCATTGTTCGTGAAATTGAACCCGTTTACCCACCCGAGAACCAAACTCAGTTCGCCATGGCTTATTACGTCATCAACTACTCTAAACTCCGTATCTGGAAGGTACATATAATACGCTGTCGTTTACTACTCCTTTTGTTGTGTTTAGCAATACGTCGTCGTTTACTTCCCTTTGAAAAAGTGGTTAATGCTCTGTTTTTTTTTTGTGTTATGTGCAGTTTGTGGAGTATAGTAAAATGATTTATTTAGATGGAGACATTCAAGTTTACGAAAACATCGATCACTTGTTTGATCTACCAGATGGCTATTTCTACGCGGTGATGGATTGTTTCTGCGAGAAAACATGGAGCCACACGCCGCAATACAAGATCGGATATTGCCAACAATGCCCTGACAAAGTCCAGTGGCCAAAGGCGGAGCTTGGAGAGCCACCGGCTCTTTATTTCAACGCCGGAATGTTCTTGTTCGAGCCTAACCTCGAGACTTACGAGGACCTACTACGAACGCTTAAAATCACTCCTCCGACTCCTTTTGCTGAACAGGTAATGACAAAATCAAAACTTAGAGTGGCCTTTCTCTGTTATGCTCTGCTTTCATCTGTTTTAAGTTGTGGATTTGATTGCGCAGGATTTTCTAAACATGTACTTCAAGAAAATCTACAAGCCGATTCCTTTAGTGTACAATCTCGTCCTTGCGATGTTATGGCGTCATCCAGAAAATGTAGAGCTTGGGAAAGTCAAGGTGGTTCACTACTGTGCAGCGGTGAGTTATTATTTTAGTCACGGTTTTGTTTATCCAAAACAATAACTTTCGTTTTGAGTACTGAAATTCACTGTTTGTTTGTTTCTCTTTTACAGGGTTCGAAGCCGTGGAGATACACAGGGAAAGAAGCGAACATGGACAGGGAAGACATAAAACTGTTAGTGAAGAAATGGTGGGACATTTACAACGATGAATCCTTGGATTACAAGAAAACTGTAGCCGTTGTGGGCACAGAGGCGGATCTCGTGAATCTGAAGCCGTTTATCACCGCTCTTACTGAAGCTGGCCGGGTCAACTACGTGACTGCACCATCCGCTGCTTGAATGTCGCCTGGAGTTATAAATGTCGGTGAATTAGGTAGTTTTTTTTTCTCTGGGCAGTAAGTCGTTTCGGGGGTTGTGTCCGGTCGACAACCACTCATACTGTCTCTGGTTTCAAATGCTTTGGCCGTTGACATGTGATTTGTCTTACCTTTTTTTTCTTTCAGTTTGTCTATAATGCGTGTTTTCCTGAATTTTTGCGTGTATCTTCGAATCTCAAGTTTGAATGACAAAATAAATAATCAAAATAACAGGTCATCTCCATATTGAAGATGTGAACTGATCGCTTTACAGAAAAATTCGGTTCAACTTTTGTTTCGAAAGATACTCGGACTCCAATGAAAAGAAGTCGTAAAAGTGATATACTCAAATTCAGGAAGAGAAGGAGAGGAGAAGTAACAAGTTATTAAAGGGAAAATACAAACTGTGAAATGATCTCTGCGTTTGAGATAAGCGACGAAGAAGAATATAATAATAAATCTTTTAGTACTAGCGAAACAGACCTCTTTCTTTGATTTATAAACCAAACAAGTAAAAGAGAAATCTGGCTAACCTCCCATCTATGCCTGCGATACATACATTTAAGTGTTTCAGACTCGGACTATAAACCAAAACTGGATTTGTTAAAAGAGAAAGTAGTTAGTAGTGGATACCTTGTTTGCGATGTTGTTGGAGAGCCAGTCAAGTCCCTCGTAGAGCCCTTCTCCTGAGGTGGCACATGTGCTTTGAATGTACCTGTTATTACAATGATCACATGAGGTTATATGGCTCACACATGTCAAGGCTTTTCAAATTGTAGATCGAGAGAGCAAGTTTTTGTGTGTTTCGCTCACCAGTGTCGTTGGCGAAGAGAGTGAAGCCCAAGCTTGTCAGTTATCTCAGCAGCGTTCATCGCGTTGGGAAGATCTTGCTTGTTAGCAAATACAAGCAGAACTGCATCCCTCAATTCATCCTGCCAAAATACACATCACAAAGTCAAAACCAAATTGGTTCTTAAATATACCCAAGTATCGAGGGAAGTGTTGAGTTAAATACCTCATTCAGCATCCTGTGAAGCTCGTCCCTGGCTTCAACAACACGGTCACGATCATTGCTGTCCACAACAAAGATAAGTCCCTGAGTGTTCTGGAAGTAATGTCTCCACAATGGACGGATCTGGGCGAGCAAGAAGGATGTAATTAAATTAGTAAAGAGTTTGATCAATTCTACGAGCTCACAACTCAAATGAGGCAACATAGACACAGAGAAAAAAGAAGTAATATTGGATTGTTAGCCAGACAACGACATCTCATTGAGAATCAAAGAATGTTCAAAATTCCAGCTGAGTTGATTTAGCTTATCAATTGTAGAGTGTGGGTACAAGAACATAATACCAACACTGAACCGAATAAGCAAACCCTTTTTGAACAGATGACATCATAAATGGATGATCGACTACAAACAATTATTGCAGAATGCAGAACTGAAAAAACCATGGAACAATAGATACCTTGTCTTGACCCCCGACATCCCACACGGTAAAGCTGATGTTCTTGTATTCAACAGTCTCAACATTGAACCCTAAAAACAAAGAGGAACCGAAATATCAGCTTGTCATACAAAACAAGTGTACATTCAACAGTAAATCGCATCCATCATACAAACTACAGAGGTGGATAAATACATGTGAGAAGAAGAAAGTTACAACTCACCAATGGTTGGAATAGTGGTGACGATCTCTCCAAGTTTGAGCTTGTACAGGATAGTCGTCTTACCAGCAGCATCGAGACCAACCATCAGAATACGCATCTCTTTCTTCGCAAAGAGCTTGCTGAACAACTTTCCGAATGACAACCCCATTTTGTTCAAGCCTAATCACAAAAACAGATTAAAACTCACAATTACACGCAATTGAATAATCATCTATCTAGTAGCCGAGATAACGAGACCATTATGGACCTACGATTACAAAATCGTATCGAATCTCATTCATATCCTCAAATCTAAATCAAATCAAGATCTTAGATCTATAATTCCGCAGAATCATCAACTATAAGACCTGATTACACTAGAACAACCTGATCTGGAAAAAATAACCAATATCACTTTGAATTCCCACCACGCAGATTCAGATCCAGCATAACAAACTAGCGAATCACAAGAAAACAAATCCACTCATAATAGAAAACAGAAGAAACGCAACAGATCTGAAAACGACGACTCGACGAGCCAATGAACAAAGCACGGATCCAGAGATCGCGAGAAAGGAATTCGAAGAGAAGAATCAGTGATTCGAGAGAGATAGAGAAGGAATCAACGTACCGGAGAAACTACGCCGCACGAGATCTAAGCTCTCTCCTTAACGCCGATGGTCGTCCAAAGAAATGGCCTTCGAACGTTTCACGATGGATTTTTTTGTGACACACAAAAAATCTCTACTTATAAATCCAGTGAGCGTTAAAAATACGTCGAATATATGTTTTAATTAAATACTACTATTAATCATTTCTGCAATTTTTTTGTTATAAGTCAACCCAATTCGGCCCATTTAATGAATCTAAAATGTTATCCTCTTAGGCCTTATGGGCTTTGCGACGAAGAAGTTCAGCTTCTATTTATTTTTCACTCACCCAATTGAAATAAAACGACGTCGTAAGAACTCATTTGTCTGGTTTTAATAAACCGAGTCTAGGTTAACCAGCCAAACCGGGTTTGTTGCCAAGCTTTCATAAGGATGAATCATATCCATTCATTGTTCTCGAATTGGTCGGTCCTTATTGTCTGAATCAATTGCGTACAAAAGTTGATTTAATTAATGGTAATGATTTAAGCGTTTAATTTATCTTTTTTCAAGTCAAACTATGAGACATTATTACAATCTTGAGGCTCAAAAATTTCCTATACGTTTTTCTTTTTAGGTACATCAATCAAAATGATGTCATATAATAATTTTATGGTGAAGAGTGAAATTATATTGGCTGTTTAAAATGAGGGATTGAAAAAGAAGTGAGACATGATAATGAAAAGACCCTACCACATCCACAAGCATTATATAGTATTTTTAGACATTGGATGTCTAGCCTTCATGCATCCATGTTTCATACTTTATTGTATAAGTGGACGACAAAATATATCATACATCCAAATTTTTCTAAATTTAACTTGAGAATCAAATCGAAAACTCTAGATGTTTTGTTTTTCTTCTTCGTTTTAAATATGTAAGAACATTTGTATATATATTTTAATAACGGGTTAGGGTTTTTACTAGGTATATATCAACACATATGTTTTAAGAAAATATTTCTTACATAAGCTTCAAATAGTTTGAATCAACACTGTACATGGAAATGAAAACAACAATAATACAGATCATATATGAAGTTTTCGGATATCAAATATAATGTCAAAATTCCTTATAGCCGTAATGCATTATGCGTAGAGAGATTCCGATGCATTAACAAACAACGCACGAACGTTAAGGAGACGTCGTTTCAAATTAGGCTAATCAATTACGCTGTTTCTTCTTTTTCTTTGCATATATATAAACATTTTTTAAAATATTTAGTTAATTTGTAGAATTAAAGTGGTTGCGCATGACATCTCACTCCTTATAGTACACGAGTGCTGACCTTGCTCGACGCTTGTTGTGTAGCAGTTTCGTTTATTGTACTTTGTATACATTGAGATATATGGTCGTACATGTACTTAAGATAGCTAAATAACATTATCTGATTCTGAGTTTCGATATATATGCATAATGAAGGATGATTGGTCTTGGTTTGACAAAAAAAAAAGGATCGGTCTTGATACTAAATTCAATCTTAATATTTTCATGATAACATTACTAAATCAAATGTTAAGGCACTTTTTATTTAAGAATTCTGTATTAAAAGTGTGATAAAACTTAAAATAACATAGAGGGACGAGTATATCTATTAATTGTTCTTATTAAAAAGAATACCTATTAATTGTTAATTGGTGGTAGTAATCAGAAATCCAAAAAAAAAAAAGTAGTAGTAATTCTCCAACAATAATGTGTGGTGACAAAAAAGGTCATGTAACAAGAATGTGAAGTGTTGTTGAAGTGAAGGGTGTCAAAGAGAAGAAAATGAGAAATGATGAAGGAAAAGGGCCTACCACTTTGATAGATGTTTTAAGAAAATTTGTTATTATGGGAATAAATCGTAGTTATATACAGAAAATAGAAGTGGAGGTTCGGCCTTTTATGGACCCATCATCTGTTTCGGCTTTATACACAGTTGGTTTTTTGTCTTTTCTCACTTCAATTTTTTGCTTAATAGATATGTTTTTAATGTTTTTGTATTCCTCGATCCCTCAATTGTCTCGAAAAAACGAAATTTTAGTGTCTTTTACTGGTTAGACTGTTGGTCTTTTAAAATGATAAGTGATGCCATGCGTGGACGTAAGTGGATGCGTATATCATGTGTGTGTCTACATGCAAACTTCCCCTAGTTTAATTGACCGATTTGGTGATTGATAAAACATGCAAGAACCTCGTATAAATGGAAAGTGAAAACGAAGAAGCTGCCTATTTCGTATCAAAGAGGTAAAACATGTTATGTGTGTGTATTACTATTTGGTACTGGTGGCCAAATACAATCAAACATGCTTATCTGGAAGAAAAAAAAAACAACATTAAAACTAATGAGTGGTGGTTTGGTGGCATGATTTCGATTGGGGAAAATTAGTCATGTAGTTTTTTGTTTTGTTAAAGATTTATTCATGGTGAAAATGATTTATGTAGGTCTACGAATTACGATGATTAAATTTACATATTTTTCAAATTTCAACACATGTAGCATATAACGTACGTAAAAGAGAAACTAGTCCTAAATGTATTAAAGAAAGGATTTATATTATTAATATATACACTTTCTTAAAGCATTATGTGCATGCTATGACGCGATAAGGCATTAGAGAGAACCGATCGATTTAAATTCATTGACGCAAGGATATTTTCATAGATACTTGGCTTTTCAACACTTTTAATATCTATCGTTTTCAAAGTATATATTGATCTTACCGATTTTCTCTACGAAGAGAAATATTGTATTTTAACAAAATGGTGTAGTGATGTTGTCATGTTATACTTTGGAGACAAATCTAATAGTGTACGCGAGTGAATTAAGAGATAATCTTACATTTTTTACTTGCAAATCAAATTTGTTTGCTGGCATGCATATCTAAGACTTTTGTAAGACTTTGTAAGACTTTCTCACAATTTTGTATTCGTATATATTTAAATTTTGTCTATAATATGTAATATACAAATTTATGAGCGGGTGATAGACAAACAACCTAACACAAATTTCTATTCAAGATTACAAATCGTGGTTAACATATATTCTATTATTGTTGATTGTGCTTTATATAAAGCCTCCCAAAATTGAAAAACTTTACTTAATTATACGTCCGGTTTTACTGAACCGCTTCATTAAACCGTCATATAAATAAACACCAAAACGAATCTTTTAATTGATTGGTAACAAACATTATAGACGGTCAGAGCTAGTCACCAATAAAGAATATAGCTTGCACAGCTTCTCATTGTTAATAACATGTACTACTGTAACTTGTTTCGATCAAATCGTACCGACCAGTTTAAATTTATACCCCAATTAAAAAAGTCGCTGTTTCTTGTGCTTTGATTGAATATTGAAATATTAGATGAATAAAGTGAAACGAATATTAAAAGCACGTATATGACTTAGTAATCACTAATCAGTTACGATTTGACACATTACTTATTTTTTTAATCTACATAATAATCGACTCAGCCTCAGCGAAACAATTACACGAACTGTGTCGTTTTTTAATTGCTTAATAATACTTTTGTTATCGTTTTAACTCTTTTTGAATAAACAAGATATGGACCCATGAGGAAATTAAAGGTCCCGATACGAAGTATATGCTATTGGAGAAAAGAAAAAAAAATGTGGAGAAATTACGTTAGATTACATACAACGTCATTTGAAATTTGGTAGGCCGTCTATTATTAGTTCTTCGGTTACACGATAATGTAAACAAATCCATACCATCACATTAATGTTACTATTTATATATATTTTAAATTAGCCAATGACTTATCTTGGTTTTCTTTTGCTCAAAAAATAATGGAAATATGTATAAGTTATTTCAAAGCTTTACAAAAAATAGTGATCACTGCACAAAATATTAAAAAATTACACTCGGATAATAAATAATCGTGGAAGTTAGTTCGGGAAATAAGGCTCACTATCGTATTGCGTCGAGTTGTCTAGAGCACATGGGTCAGACCACTCTTTCGCAATTATATATTACGTATTTGATATATACAGAATACAGTCTGTGTAAGCCATGTATGTGAATCACACAAGTGCATATATCATCACGTATATAATATAGTATTTTTCCCTCGAACATCTTATATTATCTATCTACACACGTAACACATCCATAGAACAATTTTCAACCTCTACAAATAGACTTTTTTATAACTACAAAATACACTTTTTCTGGGACCAATCCGAAATTATCCGTACACCACCAAAAATATTTCAAAAATACCAGCAAGACACATATATCATAAAGTTAAGATAAATGGAAAAGAGTGGGACATGCATTCCTCACGTATAGTATATAGTTTTTTTTTTTGTTTTAGTTGGCCTTTACTAATTTAATTACTCTTAAGTCTCTTATGGGTCATGTTTAAAGGAGCCAAATTAAGACTATGCGTGCGAAACCGCAGCCAAACATTTGAAAGACAACTTTTAAACGTATCTGAGTCCAAATCCTAACAAATAATTAGTGAAAAGTTAATATTATGTTAATTGAGTGAAAAAGTTAAATTAATTTTAAATTAATTGGGGGATGGGATAGTTAGGTCAAGTTTGCTTCTTAGTTCTTTAGATTCTTCTGTGTGTTTGGTCGACTTCTTACTATTGCCACATCACTGCATGATTATAAATATACATGCATAATATCTGCAGGATTTACTATTTTATTACAACTAATTAATTAAAAAATGTCTTCAGTCTTCACATAGTTTTTTTTTTCTTTCCCTAGTTTGCATTTTGTATTAAGTTATATTTCTCAAAAAGTCCTAATATTGTATCAAAAACTATTTGTAGCATAAAATCTATTTCGAATCATAACTTTAGTTAAGAAAGATATGATGTATCAAACGATTGTTAGACAAAAAATTACCTCAGAGCATAAATTCAGTGGACACACATATTAACAGAGTTATTAATAACTAAACAAACGAAAATGATAAGATAAGGGTATCGATTGAGCAAATAAGATTCCAAAAATGCAAGTTGAGTAATTAATCATCGAAATGATAGACAGATTAGAGTAAAGCAAAATATTAAAACCAAAAAAAGAAGAAGATATTATGAAGCATTTAAATTGGATATTTAACAGATCCAAAACAAATAACTCCAAGCAGACGCATGTCAATCTCACTCACCTTCGTTTTTTTTTAATAATTATTTTTAACCTTCTTTTTATATTGTAACGTAACCTTTTTTGTATATATATATCCCGAGTTCCAAAAAATTTTATTCGCGGTTTTCACGTTCTTTTGAAATAGATACGATCCAACCTTCTTAATATTCATATCCATATACTATTATACTGTATGTATCTTCAATGTTAAATTTCATTTACTTTCTCGATTAGATTAATACAGTATTCAGTACAGTAGAAGCATATCAATATTTTGTAATTTTATTAAAATTAAATCATCACTATCTGCTTTCTTTTTACTTATTAAGAAGGGATTTATTATACTTTGACCATTATTAAAAAGAAAAAGGTCGTTTTAAAGAAAAAAAAAATCTCTAACAATCACCAAATTCACGCAATTCTCTCGTCTCTCCTAAATCATCTTCTTTTTGTTTTCTTCCATTTTTTTCTGGTTTAGTATATATTTTTTATTTTTTATATATTAATAAAATAAAATAATGTAATTTCATTTTTGTTTTTTGAGTAGCTCCCTTATATAAATGGAGATTCCTTCGTCTTCTTCTTCGTTGCCAGTTGCCACCAGACATATAACACATTGAAAGAAGCAGCTTATATAATTCAACGACATACCACCCTAATCAAAATCTCACTCTCCCTCTCTTTCTTCATTGATTCCTCCATATCATGTAAATTCTTTCCTTTTTTACATGTATCTTTCTTCATCGAGATTCGATCTTCTTCTTCTTCTCACGAACCTCCTTATTGGGTTTCCCTGCATTCTCCTATTCTTCGCTAAACCTTGAATAAAGACATGTTCTTCGACATGGGTTTTTCCGGTTTAAAGTAGTTCAGTCTTTGTTTCCCCCTTAAACCGGGTTTGAGCTCAACCTTTTCTTCTTCTCACCGTAGAAGAACTCCAAGTGTTTGACGAATTGACTGACAGAAACAGAGCAACTGAGTCATGGAAGAGACTTTTGTGCCGTTTGAAGGAATCAAGAATGATCTTAAAGGAAGATTGATGTGCTATAAGCAAGATTGGACTGGTGGATTCAAGGCTGGATTTAGGTAACAACTAATCTAATATATGAAAAATGAATCTTCATTGATTATATAACCTCCTTTTAATTCTTCGAGTATATAATCGCTTTAATTGCGTAGGATTCTAGCTCCCACCACTTACATATTTTTCGCGTCTGCGATTCCTGTCATCTCATTCGGTGAACAACTGGAAAGAAGCACCGGTAACTCTGCCAAAGTTTCTACCTTTATCAAAAGATTTGCACTTTTCAGCTGAGGAATTGAAATTGGGTTCTGAAATTTTCGCAGATGGAGTTCTCACGGCTGTTCAAACCTTAGCATCTACAGCCATTTGCGGCATGATACACTCCATTATCGGAGGTCAGCCACTGCTTATTCTTGGAGTTGCAGAGCCAACTGTGATTATGTACACATTCATGTTTAACTTTGCAAAGGCCAGACCTGAATTGGGACGAGACCTCTTCCTGGCGTGGTCTGGATGGTGAGTTTTGTTTTTTTCTTCTTAAAAGAGTGATCAGGGTGTTGAAAACACTGTGAAACTGTTTGAAATCTCTGTGTAGGGTTTGTGTTTGGACTGCTTTGATGCTGTTTGTGTTGGCTATATGTGGAGCTTGTTCCATCATCAATAGGTTCACTCGAGTAGCTGGAGAGTTGTTTGGACTTCTTATTGCTATGCTCTTCATGCAACAAGCCATCAAAGTAGGAACCCTTTTGAGCAAGATTCCGAATTTTCGATATTTGAGAAAATGTGGGTTTTCTAACGCATTGATCATTCAGGGGCTAGTCGATGAATTCCGCATTCCTGAACGAGAAAATCAGAAGCTGAAGGAGTTCTTACCTTCCTGGAGGTTTGCTAATGGGATGTTTGCTCTGGTTCTCTCCTTTGGCCTTCTTCTAACTGGACTTAGAAGTAGAAAAGCCAGATCATGGCGGTACGGAACTGGTAAGTGAAACAACATCTTTATCTCATGAGCTGGATTCTTCTTATCAAGGGGATTCAGGCCACTTTACTCATTCGCGGATGCTCGAAGAAGCCTGGTGACTCAATTTGCTTCTATTGCACAGGCTGGCTCAGAAGCTTGATAGCTGACTATGGTGTACCACTCATGGTGCTCGTGTGGACCGGTGTCTCCTACATTCCAGCAGGAGACGTTCCAAAAGGAATTCCCCGGCGACTTTTTAGCCCAAATCCTTGGTCCCCTGGTGCTTATGGAAACTGGACTGTAGTAAAGGTATGTCTTTTTCTTTGATCTTTTACGCATATGCACTTCTACAGACTGAAACATTAAGACTTATAATGCCTAGTAATTTGAAAATTTGCAGGAGATGCTTGATGTTCCAATCGTCTATATAATTGGAGCTTTCATTCCAGCATCAATGATTGCTGTGCTTTACTACTTCGACCATAGTGTTGCTTCACAACTCGCGCAGCAGAAAGAATTCAATTTGAGAAAACCGTCTTCTTACCACTATGACTTGCTTCTTCTTGGGTTTCTGGTAAGAATTTGGAGAAAATAAAAGAATCATCTATCTGAATTTATCTTCTGGCCACCTGGTTTATAATCAAGAATGTAAATGCAGACATTAATGTGTGGTCTACTTGGAGTCCCTCCATCAAATGGTGTCATTCCTCAATCTCCAATGCATACCAAGAGCTTAGCAACTCTTAAATATCAGGTAACATCACTCACCACGGTCTTATTCTCAGTTTTTCCTGAGTTTTGAGATTGACGTTTGCTCTCTCTCTCTCTGCAGTTGCTTCGTAACAGACTGGTCGCAACAGCACGAAGAAGTATCAAAACGAATGCGAGTTTGGGACAACTCTATGACAATATGCAAGAAGCTTACAATCACATGCAAACACCATTAGTATACCAGCAACCCCAAGTAAAAAACATTTCCGAACATGTTTCATCTTTTGTCAATAGAACACGGAACTGAGAGTTAGTTCTTTCCATTGGCAGGGTTTAAAAGAGCTCAAGGAATCGACAATCCAAGCTACTACATTCACCGGAAACCTCAATGCTCCAGTTGATGAAACTCTGTTCGATATAGAGAAAGAAATTGATGATTTACTACCAGTTGAAGTCAAAGAACAACGGTTAAGCAACTTGCTTCAGGCTACAATGGTAGGAGGATGCGTTGCAGCTATGCCTATCCTTAAAATGATCCCAACATCAGTCCTATGGGGCTATTTTGCCTTCATGGCCATCGAAAGCTTACCCGGAAACCAATTCTGGGAAAGAATCTTACTTCTGTTCACCGCCCCAAGTCGCCGCTTCAAGTAATAACTAAAGTTCCAATCTTTTTCTCACATTCAACTTCAAAAAGGCTCATTTTTTTTCTCAGTTCGGTCACATTTCTATTTGTAGGGTTCTTGAAGACTACCACGCGACATTCGTGGAAACTGTTCCATTCAAGACGATTGCAATGTTCACTCTTTTCCAAACGACTTATCTCTTAATCTGCTTTGGCCTCACATGGATCCCAATCGCAGGAGTCATGTTCCCTTTAATGATCATGTTCTTAATCCCCGTACGACAATATCTCCTCCCTAGATTCTTCAAAGGAGCTCATCTTCAGGACTTGGACGCAGCAGAGTATGAAGAAGCTCCAGCTTTACCCTACAATCTCGCAGCGGTAACCAAAAACCCATTTACAATTTCAATTACTCTGTTTTCTTTTCTTTAGCTTCTTCTTATCTTTTTTCAAACTCGATCTTGAACAGGAAACGGAGATTGGATCCACAACATCGTATCCGGGAGATTTGGAGATTCTTGATGAGGTTATTACCCGAAGCAGAGGAGAGTTTAGACACACGAGTAGTCCTAAGGTCACAAGTTCAAGTTCTACTCCAGTCAATAATCGGAGTTTGTCACAAGTGTTTAGTCCAAGAGTGAGTGAAATCAGGTTGGGTCAGATGAGTCCTCGAGTCGTGGGAAATAGTCCAAAGCCGGCGAGTCGTGGGAGGAGTCCCTTGAACCAGTCGTCATCGAACTGAGATTATATTCAGGAAGCTTAATAAAAGATACAAAAAATCTAATGAGGATGGATTAAGAATGTTTAATTAGTTAATTAATTTGATCTTTAGCTCTTAAGAAAAAAAAAAGCTTCTTGAATCTTTCTTTAGTTTATGTTTTGTGTGTTTAATCCCCTTTGTGGTGTTTGATCTTGCGTCTTATGTAAAATACTAAAATGTCTTACTTATATCATAATATATGTAATGATAAGGGGCAAAATATGTAAAATTCGTTAAATATTAACGGTAATCGATCTTTTATATGAGTTTCTGTCTCAACGGTTACGTTGATCGGTCAACATTACTTACTATTAAGAAATTAGGTTTTATGGGGTCACTGAAATTTAGATAGTTAGGAACTAATATCTTGAGTTTAAAGATTTACATAAAATATTTTTTCCAAGAACAGAAATAGTTATCTACTTATCTTTCACTTTGTTAACATCTATTAAGAATAGTTATGATTTTCTCAATTATTAAAGACGTCGGAAAATATTTTATCAAGAACTCGTAGAAGTGCAATGTCTCGCACTTGGTGGCTGGTTTAAACTTATTTGATTAATATCTGGTCCTGAATGTAACATCCTAGCAAAATAAAACCACGGAGAGTTACAAGTTTCGAATATACCACCAAATTTTAGCTTGAAACCTCGAACACATGACTCTTAACTAATATACAAAGTTATGAACTTATGATGCCCAAAAAATAACACATATACAAAAATAAATACTAGTGTCTCAAGTCTGTTATAAATCTTTTAAGAGCTCCGTTTCAAAACGAAAACAAGCTACCCAAGAAATATGTATGCAAATTGCATAAGGAAGACTTTATCCGATGAAACAATGAATTGCTCCTTTTATTTTCATATGAAATAAAGTCAAAACAATTTTTGTTGAATGGTTCATATATCAATTATGTTATTTTCATATTAGAAATACGATTATGATATTGTTTTGTAATTCTTAAATTTGAAAAATGATTTTGGAAAAGACCCATCGATATATACCAAAACGTATTTTTATTACGGAATCTTTACGGAAAAAAATAAGATAACGTTCTACAAGATAAGGACTGTCTATGTGCGCAGGAGATCTATTTACACATGCAATGCAAGTAAACAGTACGTGAAGAAAATGCATCATGATGGTACATACATACTTTTCTTTGATATGTACATGGAAAAAAAATCCCATGGGAAAAGAGTGGGAAACATATGGAAATTAATGAAAGGTGTGAATGATTACAATTAGGAGCAAAAGCAAATTAATGCTTTTGAGCATGAAAAGAGTGGCTATCTGGTTCAAGTATAGTCTTGTCGTTCGAATAAGCACTTTGGTACTATATATATAAGACAATTCAAGGGTCAACTTCTATACCAAAATCGAACCAGACGAAGACAAAAGTTGAAGAACACGAATGTTCGATGTCAATAAGGAAAGGTGAGGCTCCAATAGTTTGAACTTCGTCATTATGAGGGAGAGTGAAAAGGAATGGTCTCTAATTATCCTTTTAAAAGTAAAAAATTAGTAGCACTTGAGTAGAAATATATGTATGAGAGGTCACGAGCTAATTGAGACCGACCCTCTTGGGAAAAGAAAAAGATTTTAATTTATTAAAGTTAGAGTTTATTTTGCTGGTGTATTCATATGATGAAAAAAAAAAAAAAAAACATATGATGATATATGATTTGTTGATAGATGATTTATATCATCATTTCTATGAATTATGGGTAAATTTGGTTTGAAGCAAGGAATCACACATTTTGTACTAATGAGAGTAAGCGTAATACATATAGGTAACAATGATCAGTTCTCAATTTTTAATTTCAGCTATTGATTTATCTAAGATGGATTTGCGATTTTTTTGTTGGAGATGCGTTATAACTTAAAACATGTATAGGTATATGAGTTGTAGACGAAAGAAAAAGAAATTACCCATTTTTGCTCACTATATTTTATCACATGTCTTATTATATTTGTTTGAGATTTCGTCTAAAATACCTAATTACGTACCACAACAAAACTTGGAAAAAAAACGTGGGTGGCTAAAGAAAGAGGAGCTAATAAAGGGTACACAGTCTTGCTTATCCTTTTATTGCTAAATTTTGTTTTTTTTTGGCATTAACCATTGACTCGATCGATAGTGAAATGTATTTTGTGTATCATTGATATTCTTGCTGTCTGCAATAATGATGAATAATAAGTTGGCTTATGCATAGGTCACCGTCTAAATCATGCAATGGAACTTTGTTTTATTTGTTTTGCGTAGACTAAAACAGAACTCTTTCGCATTCATTCCTCTCTTCCTCACCTTAAAAGCAAACGCCCTCATTCACTTTGATGGAAGGAGATTAGACATACTCGTTGACCCTTTTCTACGTGTCATTTCCCACAGTAGCTTGACCAAAACCCACTCTTATTTAGCTATTACCACATGTGTTCTCTAATCTACGAACTATTAAAACATGTTCGTCCAGATCGTATATAACTTAGTACTTGGTGAGTGTTTATATTTTGGTCATTCCATTATTGGGCATATATTTTAATTTATGACCTGAAGATACTATAACAACCGCAAAACCTTAATCATTATTAATTTAGTCGTAGAAGAAAATAGAATGTACACTAGATATCTTAATTTCATCATCTTATTTACAAAAGTCTTAAAGAAATTGGTTTGATTTCTGAAATACCATGGATTTTTGCGGTATTTTAATAAATATTACGTTATTTTTTCGATTATACGCTATATTTCTATGAGATTTATGGTATTTATAAAATTTACAAAAGGAAAACATACTTCTTATATAGTATTTACGGTTTTTTTCCGATGCTTATCTTTTGCCACTTTTAACCAAAATTTTGGCTATCTGCGAGATCAACCCTAGAAAAATTGTGATTCCATGCCAAGTTGCCAATGAGGGAATGATATAAATACATTGGAGTTTCAACCACGCAACTGCGCAAGGATTCATCGTGGGTGCTGTACGAACAAGGAAACCAAACCAACTTAGCTACCGTAATGGGCTTTCTATCATTAGGTTCAGGCTTCATTGCAATGTTGCCTTTCATTGTAAGACTAGGCCCATGAAATTATATATTATAAATTTCCATTTGTTTCAAACGCAAATAAAAACTAAAAATATTTGCTTAAGTTTACATTTTTTATTTTTATGTTTAAACATTGGTGTATATACGTTTATATCTTATCAAAAACCATAAATGTGACCCAGCTTTAAAGAGTAAAATATGTTAGCATTTAAATAAATATGATTTTTTTCTTTGTTTGTAACCAAAATATTAAGATAAAACTTGAAAATACACAGATTCAGTCAAAACTTTTTATATACAATTGAAATAACGATTCTCTACCTTTCATAGATACCTACCGGATGATTCAAGACTTTCAAGTATATAATTACTTGCCTCTTGATGTTATGATCTCCAAGTATAATTACTGTGTTCTTTGAAACCTATTTAACAATGTCGGGAAGCAAGCAAGTGCTTAATTTCTCAGTCTCTCACAAACATTTTTATTAATTCATTTACAAATTAACAAATCTAATTATCTACTTTATCTGTCTGTATACAGAAGATTGGATGGCAAAATCGTGATTATAACAGGCGGGGCCAGTGGGATAGGAGCCGAATCCGCGAGGTTGTTCACTGACCACGGAGCTAAAGTGGTTATAGTTGACGTACAAGAAGAGCTAGGCCAAAACGTGGCCATTTCAATCGGCAAAGACAAAGCAAGTTTTTACCGTTGCGATGTTACAAACGAAACGGAAGTAGAGAACGCCGTTAAGTTCACCATCGAAAAACATGGGAAGCTTGACGTTCTGTTTAGTAACGCCGGCGTCGTTCTTTTCAGCAAACCCGGCGTCTTGGAAACGCCGGGAAGCATTCTTGATTTGAATCTTGAACGGTTTGACCGAACAATGGCGGTCAACGTTCGTGGAGCGGCTGTGTTTATCAAACATGCGGCACGAGCCATGGTGGAGAAAGGCACGCGTGGCTCCATCGTTTGTACGACCAGCGTAACGTCGGAGATTGGTGGTCAGGGACCTCATGAATACACGACGTCGAAGCATGGGCTTGTCGGGCTGATTAAATCGGTTTGTGGCGATTTAGGGAAACATGGGATTAGAATTAACGGCGTCGCACCGTTCGCGGTGGCGACGGGGATGACTAGTCACGACGAGGAGACGGCGAAGCAGACGGAGGAGTATTGCGAAGCTAAAGGGATTCTTAAAGGTGTTGTGTTGAAGGCTCGACACGTGGCAGAGGCTGCTCTGTTTCTTGCTTCTGATGATTCTGTTTATATCAGTGGCCAAAATTTAGCAGTGGACGGTGGTTTTTGCGTCGTTAAGCCTATTTGAAACAAAATAAGTAAAAAAATTTGGTTATTTGTTCCCAATCGGGATCGTTATTGCTTTAAGTGTTTTATTGATATTTATAAATATAAATTTTAAACGAATAAAAACATTATTATATACTATATGAACAAGTGTAATTATTACGGTGCATAATTCAGAGGTCAAACCAATTCTTGAGCCATTAAAAAAGTGAAACTCACATGGCACGATAGAGTTGACTTTTAACATACATATACACATGTATAAATATCCACACATGATTTCTCGTAGCTATATCTTCCTTCAAATTTTCATAACGTCTCAACAATGTCTGGAAAAAGGCAATTTCCTCATCTAATTCTGTAACATTTCTGCTCAAATTTATACCCATATACACAAATGTGTGTTTCTAATGATTTGTTGTTTTTGCAGATTGGATGGCAAAATCGTAATTATTACTGGCGGAGCAAGCGGCATTGGGGCTGAGTCCGTTCGGTTATTTACCGAACACGGCGCTCGAGTCGTGATCGTTGACGTACAAGACGAGCTTGGTCAAAACGTTGCCGTTTCTGTCGGAGAAGACAAAGCGAGTTACTATCATTGCGATGTCACGAACGAGACGGAAGTTGAAAACGCCGTTAAGTTCACCGTAGAAAAATATGGGAAGCTTGACGTTCTGTTTAGTAACGCCGGCGTTATAGAGCCGTTTGTGAGCATCCTCGATTTAAATCTCAACGAGTTAGACCGAACTGTCGCCGTTAACATCCGCGGTGCAGCTGCATTCATCAAGCATGCGGCACGTGCCATGGTGGAGAAAGGCACCCGCGGCTCCATCATTTGCACCACTAGCGTCGCGGCTGAGATCTCCGGCACGGCACCACACGGGTAAAAACTAATATTCACAACAAAAACACTTTAATTCTTTAGACAAACAAAAAATGCACTAATTAAAATCGTTTTCAAAACCATGTAATATTAAATAGTGGATCGTTGCAACGGAGTATTATTAGTAGCTAAGTGATCATGTTGTCACGATTCATTAACAATAATTATCGTTAAAATTTTAGAAAAAAAATGAATTTCTTACTAAATATAGGTACACGGCGTCGAAGCATGGGCTGTTGGGTTTGATCAAATCGGCTTCTGGTGGATTAGGAAAATATGGGATAAGAGTAAACGGTGTTGCTCCGTTTGGTGTCGCAACACCGTTAGTTTGTAATGGTTTCAAGATGGAGCCAAACGTGGTGGAGGAGAACACGTCAGCGTCAGCGAATCTAAAGGGCATTGTATTGAAAGCTCGTCACGTGGCAGAAGCTGCTCTGTTTTTAGCATCCGATGAGTCGGCTTACGTTAGCGGACAGAACCTGGCCGTTGACGGTGGTTACTCGGTGGTTAAGCAGTAGTTACAACGACTTGGCCACAAAGATCCCACGATGAAATGATTTTTTTTTTTTAATATTGGGTCAAAAGTTGACTTGGCTTAATTGTAGAGAGACATGGGGATTGAGAAGTTTCTGAGGTTGCAATTCTCCTTGAAATGTGGATGTTGTATTTTTATATGGTAACATTCATTATCCAATAAATTGCACATCTCGAGAATAATTTATCTAAACAAATACTACAAGCTTATTTGATCAATGGTGGCCTGGTGGGCTAATGGGCCTTTTCTATTCGTCTTTCTAATCTCTCTATTTTGACTATTATGACAACAGATTCCTTTTGAACCAAAAAAAAAAAGAAGACAACAGATTCCATTAGCACAAAGATTTATTCAGAGTGGAACTTTATTTTAGTTTTCACATTTAAAATTTTGTTTTCAATGGTAGTCACATAACATTTAAGGTTGATAGTTTCGGATAAGTTGGCCAAAAGCTTAATGTTATTAGAGAGCTCCATGCTTAATGTCAGAACCTTTGTCTTAAGTTTTGTCAGTTAGCACAGTAACTTCTGGTTTGATTATGCTAATTCGATAATATAGGTTCTCTCTCTAACGATTGTGCTGAGAATTAATTTCTTATTTTCAAAGAAATATGGGACTTGTTCTTCTCATGTTTTATGATGTTTTCTATTGTCTCTGTTTTCATATACTTTAATGTATGACTTCTTGTATCTGTTTTCATATGATTTTGTCCTATAAAATTGAACTATGACTACTCGATATTAATTTACTTGTGAGTTAATGTCTCTGTTTTTTCATATGCTTTTGTCTGGAGAGGTCACATGTTAAATATCATGCTTGTTTGGTCTGAGAAATATTATCTGACTCTTGTATTGTGTCTTGCAGGTTAGACGATGGTTGAAGACAAAGAAGCCACCACCACATCTTTTACTTGTGCGGACAATGACACATAATTGTCATTGATAGTGAACCACACATAATTGTCATTTCTTCTCCTTTTGTAAAATAACTTGGGTCCTAGCCTCCTAGGCAATACAAACTTTGGTCGGTCTTGGCTCTAAACTCTTGTTGGCTACTTAAGAATATGATTTTGACAGTGATCATGTTATTGATTTGTGATAAATAATATTTCCATAGTTTAGAATATTAATTAAATAGATTTTATATTGTTAGTTTTTATAGAATAAAATAATCTATATATATGCATTGATGTTACTTAAGTAAGGTTATACAAATAGTAAATTAAAATTATTTTACTTAGCACAATAATATTTTATATTCTTAGAATTAAAATTTATATATTAGATTTATTTTTTAGTCAACATTTTGATAAAATCATGTCTAACTAGTACTTTCAAACATTTTAGGTAGTATTTTCATGGTTTTATATATGTTATTTATATTTTTTAGCATTTAAGTAGTATTTTTCATAAGTCTACACTATGTAATCTTTTGCTTAATGGTATTATCAAAGAAAATATAGCTATTTAATTCTACTAATAGATTGCATTATTAATTACTGCTCTTAAGATTAAGATATATTAATAGTTATGATTTTATATTATTATATCTAAGTTTATTTGTTCTTACAAAGTCTAGCTACGATAAATACAGGGAACGGAGCACCTAGTCGCTCTTTCAAGTCTACACGACTTATAATTAATCTCTCTCTGTCTCCTTTTGAAATCCTTCAAAAATGTCGGGACTCAGGCAAGTGTGACTCCAAAGCTTTTTTTATATGTTTACTGATTTGTATAATTCACGTGTACGTTTATATTCTATACCGCAGATTGGATGGCAAAATCGCAATTATAACAGGCGGAGCTAGCGGGATTGGAGCCGAAGCGGTTAGGCTGTTCACGGACCACGGAGCTAAGGTGGTCATCGTTGACTTTCAAGAAGAGCTTGGTCAAAACGTCGCCGTTTCTGTCGGGAAAGACAAAGCATGTTTTTACCGTTGCGATGTTACAAACGAAACAGAGGTAGAGAACGCCGTTAAGTTCACCGTCGAGAAATACGGAAAGCTAGACGTTCTGTTTAGTAACGCCGGCGTTATGGAACAGCCGGGAAGCTTTCTCGACTTGAATCTTGAACAGTTTGACCGAACCATGGCGGTCAACGTTCGTGGTGCAGCTGCGTTTATCAAACACGCGGCACGAGCCATGGTAGAGAAAGGCACGCGTGGGTCAATCGTATGTACGACCAGCGTCGCATCGGAGATCGGTGGTCCGGGTCCTCACGCGTACACAGCGTCTAAGCACGCTCTTCTCGGGCTTATAAAATCGGCTTGTGGCGGGCTGGGGAAGTACGGGATTAGAGTCAACGGCGTTGCACCGTACGCGGTGGCGACGGCGATAAATAGCCGTGACGAGGAAACGATGAGGATGGTGGAGGAATATAGCACCGCCACGGGGATTCTCAAGGGCGTGGTGCTTAAGGCTCGCCATGTGGCTGAGGCGGCTTTGTTTCTGGCTTCGGATGATTCGGCTTACGTTAGCGGCCAGAATCTGGCTGTTGACGGTGGTTACACCGTCGTTAAGCCCATGTGAAGGAAAAAATATTCTAAGTTCTTGAACTCCTTTGCTCTAATGCTATTAATAAATGGTACGATGAATGAGTCAATCTAATTAAGATTATGATATGATAAAATCAACACTTTTAGCCTTAACTTTTTTTCTTTCAACGACTTTTACACGCCATTATCTTCCTTTTTTGGGTCAAATCATCTAATAGTATGTACACCATCTAATAGTAAATTCGAATAAATAAGGGTAACGACGTAACGTTATTAATATTAAACTTCCACTTGTAACTCTTTAGTGCAAACTAATTTATTGGCTTAATGGTTGTTAATTACAAAGTAGTCCACAATCAATATCAACACCAGAGACGAAGAATGTGTCGGTACAAAACAAAAGAGTCGAAGAAAAGAAGTAAAAAAGACAACAGAAATGTCTTGGGCTTGGCCTCATCACCAAATAAATAAATAAGGGTATCAAGAAATATATAAGCAACAGTATGTATGTAATATAATAATTTTGAATAAAGCAAGTCAAAATATATAATTTTAACCCAATATATTCGAATCGTTAAAAATGCTTAATTATATCCTTCATTTGTGTGTGTGTTTTTTTCCCTATATCTTTATTTTCATTTTATCTTGTCAATTTGGTTTGACCTTGACTTATCAAGATTTATCTTTCATTTATTTTACCAATTCTTAATTTTGAAATATTAATGAATTATGTACATGCATCTAGCTAGATGTTATCTAACTGTCAAATTTACACGAGTAACAAACGATCACAACAGCTGGTCGTCTCGCTTCAAAAACAACCCACCTGCCGAAAACTCCACTCCATGCATAAACAAACCTCTTAATTTTCAAGAACTAACCAACTGATAATTTTTTTTAGTTAGTAAATCATGGCATTGATCGTTTACTGGTATGACTTCATCTGCTTTGCGATAGTCGCGGCTGCAATCGTCGCGTCCCTGTGGTTTCTATTGCGCAGAGAAAGAGGCTGCTTAGGAATTGATGATACGGGCCACGTTAGCTTGCTGCCACTTTATAGATCGAAGAGCCTTGGGTCGGCTCAGTTATGGACCAGTTGCTGGATAAGGTTACATCCCGGCTGGCTTCTCTTTACTCGTTCCACCTCTTTTCTCTCCATGGCTGCTTTATTGGCTTGGGATATCTTGAAGTGGGACGCAAGCATCTTCGTCTATTACACAGAGTGATCTTTCTTCTTTAAGTGTTGTAACACCAAAATTTTGATTGTAATCAGATTCACTTGTTTATTCTTTGAGTTATGTTACTTGGTTTTGTAACAGATGGACCTTCATGCTTGTCATCATCTACTTTGCGGTATATCTCGTAACAGCTTACCGCTTTCCGAGTAAGAGTGTTAAATCCGGATTTTGTTTATGTTCATTGGGTTCTCTGCAGATGGGTATTGCAGCTTCAGTATATGGTTGCTTGATACATTCTAAGGAGCTAGCATTGGAAACTGGTGAAGATGTGGTTGTAGAAAAGGTTGGAGATGAGTTCAGACAAAGATTAGAGGTTTATGGTTGTTTCATGCAGATAATTTTTCAGGTTCGTGTCAACAGTCACGGAGACCCAAGATTTTGCTTCATACATATTCATACAATAATTCTTGTGTCAAGTTTGTGTTGCAGACAAGTGCAGGGGCTGTAGTGCTGACGGACATTGTGTTTTGGTTAGTTATAGTTCCTTTCCTATCGAATACTCGCTTCGGGTTAAACACGGTAAAACATTTCAGCCTCTGCTTAAAAATGACTACTCAAGCATCTACTTATAGGATTTATGATTATGATTTGATGCAGTTGATGATATGCATGCACACGGCAAATGCAGGCTTCCTCCTGCTCGAAACAGTCCTCAATAGCCTTGTAAGCAAAAATCGAAATGAATCAAGACAGAGATTTTTGAAAGGAGCATATAAAATTGATTTTGTTCTGATTTCAGCCGTTCCCTTGGTTTCGAATGGGATATTTCGTGCTATGGAGTTGTCTCTACGTTATCTTCCAATGGATCATCCACGCATGTGGCTTAACTTGGTAAGCACTGATGATCCTTAACCCACAACTAGGCACAACCAATCTATTCTAATCGAATCAAACCTATTTCAGGTGGCCATATCCGTTTCTCGAGCTCGATAAGCCATGGGCTCCGATATGGTAAGCATCCTCATTAATTCTATCTAGTCAACCTCATAATCGTTTTAAAGATTTGACAGATTGTGATTATAAACTAACAAAACAACATATTCTCAGGTACTTGAGCATGGCAATTGTTCACATCCCTTGCTATGGAGCTTATGCCGCAATTGTAAAAGCCAAGAACTCATGCTTCCCATATCTATTCCCAAATGCCTTTGTAAATCCCTAATCCTAATTTCCCTCAAAGAACCAAAGTTTGTAATCTCAGTAATTTACAGATTTGATTGTGTGATATATCAATCAATCATGCAATAACATTCAAATAAGAGAAGCGAATTAAAGAGCATAAAAATATCCATAAGAAAAACCTAGATATGAAATTCAGAACCAAACAAGTTCAACATCATAAGATCCACAACATCCAAAAAACAACTTCCAAAATCAAAAAGCAGTATTCAATTCAAAAGATAGAGATCGAGATGAAATTCATTCCTGAGCTCCTTCTTTCTGGTAAACGTAGGTGAGACCACACTTACCACAGTAGTGACGATCGAAATGGCTAGCCATGAAAGTCCCAGCACCACAGGTAGCGTTAGGGCACTCCTTCCTCAGACGCTGAACCTTACCAGAGCCATCAACCTTGTAGAACTGAAGAACAGCGAGCTTGACCTTCTTGTGCTTGTGCTTGATCTTCTTAGGCTTGGTGTAAGTCTTCTTCTTCCTCTTCTTAGCACCACCACGGAGACGAAGGACAAGGTGAAGCGTTGATTCCTTCTGGATGTTGTAATCGGCTAAGGTTCGTCCGTCTTCGAGCTGCTTTCCGGCGAAAATCAATCGCTGCTGGTCCGGTGGGATACCTTCCTTGTCTTGGATCTTGGCCTTGACATTGTCGATGGTGTCAGAGGAGTCGACCTCGAGAGTGATCGTCTTCCCCGTTAGGGTTTTCACGAAGATCTGCATCTTTTTTTGCTTTTCGCTAACCAACGGCGGAAGAAAATTTCTGGGGATCTCTTTATGTGGTGAGAAGAAATAAAAGAGTAGTGGTTGAGAAACTAGGGTTTTGGAGTTCGCTTTTAAAATTACGTAATTACCCCTTTAAAATGGGTTTTAGTTACATTGGGCTTCAAAGGCCTTTAAAGAATCTATAAAGAAAAAAAAAATTGGAGATGCGGGGGATCGAACCCCGTGCCTCTCGCATGCAAAGCGAGCGCTCTACCATTTGAGCTACATCCCCAAGTTGTGTACTCTCTCTGAGTCAAATATATTATAGTATTATTTATCTTCGTCTCTTTTCTCTTTTATAAGTCGCTTTGTTGCAATCTCTGTCTGGGTTTTCTGGGTTTCTCTGAGAAAATCTTAGGAGTTGGAAATCATGGATGATAGTTGCGCCGTTTGCGCGGAGAATCTCGAATGGGTTGGTTACGGATCTTGTGGTCACAGAGAGGTTTGCTCTACTTGCGTCGTTCGTCTTCGTTTCATACTCAATGATCGTCGATGTTGTATCTGCAAAACCGAATGCCCCGTCGTCTTCGTCACAAAGGTTAGGGCTTTTTTTCTTATTCTGTTCAAATGTGTTGCTCTTAATGGCAAAAGATATGTTTTTTTTTTTAAGATAGTGAGAAACTGGGGGAGACTAAAACTTGTAAATTTGCTTACATTTCCTCTATCTGCTCTTTTCTATTGCAGGCTTTGGGTGATTATACAAAGACCATTAGTGATTTCTCCACTACTTTCCCATCAGTACCAAAGGAAGGTCGAGTAGGATCTTTCTGGTATCATGAAGAAACCAATGTTTTCTTTGATGACTTGAACCATTACACAAGGATTAAGGCAATGTGCAGACTCTCTTGCAATTCGTGTAACCAGACAAACAAGAGTCATCCAAAGAAAGGGCCTAACCATTGTTTGCGGTTTAAGAGCGTTGAACACTTGAAAGATCATTTAAGCCATCAGCACAAATTGCATATGTGCAGTTTATGTCTTGTAGGTCGTAAGGTCAGGTTCTGAAATTACCCTCTTAGGTTTGAAATTTCTCTGCTAACGATTTCTCATGAAACAAGCTCATGCTTTTGTTTTGATTTGACAGGTTTTCATTTGTGAACAAAAGTTGTTTACTAAGGCACAGCTGAACCAACATATAAGTAGTGGTGACTCGGAAGTGGATGGAAGTGAGAGTGAAAGAGGAGGTTTCACTGGTCATCCTATGTGTGAGTTCTGTAAAAGACCATTCTATGGTGATAATGAGCTATACACTCATATGTCTAGAGAGCACTACACTTGTCATATATGCCAAAGGTAATTGCTATTTGTATTTGTGAAATTTATGAATTTGATTGACCTCGAAATGATTTCATTTGCTTCGATTTGGCAATGCAGGCTGAAGCCTGGACAATTTGAATATTATGGAAACTATGATGATCTGGAGGTATGAATGTAATCTTATGCTATGTTGTGGTTGCATTGGGTGATCTGACTCTTTAACACTACATGTCTCTCACTTGTTTTTGCAACAGGTTCATTTCAGAAGTGACCATTTCCTATGTGAAGACGAAACCTGCCTTGCTAAGAAGTTCATAGTTTTCCAAATCGAAGCTGAGTTAAAAGTAAAACACCTTTTCTTTATTCCCACTGGTTGTTATGGTGACACACAATGATGTTTAAAGGATCACTTGCATTTTTTTCTAGAGGCATAATTCTATTGATCATGGAGGTAGAATGTCTCGGTCTCAACAAAGTGCATCACTACAGGCATGTATCATTTCAGAGTACAGCTCTTGCCAGTTAATTATCTTTTCCATCTTTTGGTATGCTTTATTATGTTTAATATTTGGTTCTGTTTCAGATACAAGCCAGTTTCCAATACCAGAGCAGTCGCCGTGGAAGACACCGATCATCTCTTCGTGAGCCTAATCTTGCGGTTCTGGAATCTCAAGCATCTTATGCCATTAACGACGGTAATAATCTTCTTCAACATGTGGGGCGCTCTGGAGGTTCACGTCTTGGAGAATCATCTTTTCCTCCACTCTCTGTGCAAGCAAACCAAGGTCAATCAAGATTTGGGCAGAACTCAGAGAGTTTACTTAGTAACAACACGACGACTCGTCTAAGACATCAAACAAATAGAAGTGCAACTTCTGGTTCTTCTCGAGCTTGGCCAGCGCTAAACCGAGGTCCGGCAGAAACATCAATTACAAGCAGTGTACAATCTTCTGGTGCTTCTGCTCAATCTCAGTCTAGGCACCATGGTAGAGTTGAAATTACAAGAACTCTTGCTTCTGCAGTTCCACAGGATGCTCGTAATGAACATACCACAGCTGGTGGATGCTCATCTGGTTCTTCTTTGAGTTCCTCCAATGCAACAAAGAGGAATAATCATCACTCGTCTTCAACCCCTAAAATGTCTGAAACAAGATCACTGGAGCAGCCTTCTCATTCTGATTCTCCTCCAATTTCCGCTGTGAAAAATCGCAGGTCATCATCCACCAGTGCAAATGCAGCGAACATCCAAGTAGCACAAAGTGTTTCTGATGTACAGTCTGACAATAAAAGTTTGGTTGAAAAGATACATGCCAGCCTTGGACACGATGAAGAGTTATTCATGGCCTTCAAGAATACATCAGGAAAGTATCGTCATGGTTCCATCGATGCAAGAACTTACTTGGAATACGTGAAAGGTTATGGTTTGTCTCACTTAGTTCTGGATATGGCTAGACTCTGCCCTGACCCTCAGAGGCAGAAGGAACTCATTGATACCCACAATGCCTGCTTGAAAGGAGGAAATAAAGGGAAAGCTGTGAAGGTTGAAAGTAGCAGTGACTCCAAGGGGGATAGATTTGTTGATACAGTGAGGAAGTTACAATTCTCTGACAAATCTCAGGACAAAGACAAAGACAAGGATGCATACCGTTCAGATAAAGGCAAAACAAAAGTGACGACATTGGTGAATTCTTCATCGACTGGAGTGGGATTAGGTGACACAGGCAAGCAACCTAAGAAAACTTCAAAGTTTCTCAGAACACGTCTAGGAGAGAAATCAATGGCTGCAGTACTAGATCTTAGGAATTCTAACCCAGAGCCTGAAGCAGAACCTAAGAACGATAACTCCAAAAGGAGCCAGAACTCTCCCGGTGGATTGCCACTTCGTGGTGCTTGGAGGAGAGGAAGTGCAAAACTCTTCCTCTAGTAAAAAGATTTTGCACAGATGAACCAAGTGTAAGGATCAAATAGTCATATTTAAGTGTTTGTGTCTTTTGATGTAATGACTAGCTTAAGTTATCAGTTATTTTATGAGCATTTGTGTTCGATCCTTGTTGATATTAGACAAAAAATCTCTCATTAAGCTTTTGAAAACGAATCTACTTAACATTTTTGAAGTACATATTTGCTCCTTCCAATCGGGTCGGGTTTTAATTAATTTTGACCCGAAAATCTTTGATTCGGATCCTTCCTTATTTGTTATTTTGACCCGAATTTTTGTGAATCAGAACCTTCCTTAGTTGAAAATCCCTACATTTAATCCAAACAACATTTAATATGACGAGATCAATCGCAAATATCGTGGTAACAAACCAAGATTTGATAATCTCATTGTTTCCTATTAAAATGGTAAAGATTTTGTTGCAAATCACATTTATTTCCTAAATAAAATGAACAATATTATTTCTACAATAAATCCCACGAAATGAATTGGGCATGTGTTGTAACTAAAAGATTTTATCCTTATTTTGTATAGCATCTATGTAGCATATTCTATATATTTCCGATTCTAAGATTTTCAAAGATATACTATACTTGCTCACCAAGATTTTATATATTCTCTAACCTAAAACTCTAGCAACTTATCAAAACACTATAAATACACTCTCATTTCCAAGATCTAAACATACAAGACACGATAAACACGTCTTTGAGATTACGTCTATGAGTGTAAGATTACTTTATATTTGTTAGTTGGCTGTCGTGTTGTAATTTTCAAAAATCACATGCTTGATTGTAATTTTAACCAGTTTAGTCTATCCTATCTCCACTGACCTTTTTGAGAATGTATCTTATGTTTACAGATTACTCCTGCCTGCTCAAGCCACTTGACTTTCATATTTGAAGATTATGTTTAACCTATGAAACAAAAGACATGTTAGTCACCTATATTACGAACATTATAATCATATATGTTTGATAGACAATTGATATCCTATCTTTGTGTTTGTGTACATCACTTAGTCTTTATTACATTGCAAATCTACAACTCTTGATTTGTTAAACTTTTAATCCTTTCATCTTCTAAGGAGATTATGCTTCCTTGCCCTATAATCTTCAATGTTTTAAACAAATTGGAAATCAGAATTCGGGTACACATCATGACCAGAATAAAAAGAATCATATCATCAAAAAAATGATCAACGCAATAATGTTCTACCAGTAATGGATCCACAAAAACATTATAGGATGATTCATTAAGTACATAACAGATAATAAACCAACATCATACATTCGAATTTCGAACCTTAAATTTTGGCAAATAGACTCAGAATTAGAAACAAATCTTTTTAAGGTTCATAGAGAAATTTGATTCAAAATTAACCATGATAGACAATTAAATTCTGAATTTGATGTTCAAGAATCGATTTCTCTTACCTTCGGGTCTCTCTCTTTATTTTTCTCTGTAACTGTTACAAGTTAGTGAAGAAAAAACAGTCTCATACCGTGATTGTAATCCATGTCTTCATTTTTATGTGTTCTGAGATTGAGATTCGTGTTATGAGATAGTAATCGATCATCGTTGTATAATCGGAAAATTGAACAAGAATTGGAAAAAGACTATGGAAAGGGATCGACCAATTTTGTGAGATCTGTTATTTTATTTTTTTGGTCCTGGTCTAGAAGACGAAACCTTTCCTTAACTTTACCAAAACATTGTCTTTTTTTTTTATTACACAAAAACGTATTCTTCCTAAACACAAACGTCACAAATTACAAAACCTCATTATTTTTTGCATTTTGTTTACTATTGACAATAGGACCCATTGTTGT